TTTCAGATAAGAGGAGTAAATGTGGCCATGATATCATTGTGATCGGGGGGCGTGGGTACATCATATTTGGCATCAAGGTCTATACAACAGACCGCGTCACCTTCCCATACACCTGACCCATCTCAGCATCTCCCGGGGGTGTTGAATGCACATGGTGTCTAAATTGTTTTCCACATGTGGGGGATCGAACTTGAGACCTTGCAGACCCAAGCCAGGTAAATGATTGCCACCTGAGCCACTGTGCCCCCCATATTGTTGCATACTCCCTAAATTGATGGTCATTATCTCCTTGGACATGGTATCAAAAATCGAAAACAGAGCTTACCTTTCACCCATGCTTGTCGTCACCCTGAATGCTCTCCACGTTGAAGTTGCTGTGGCAGGTCGTGTCATCGTCGTTGTAAGTGATGGTTACCTTGCTTGGCAAGGTCTATTACCACAGTCATAATTATGTAATCCATCCTGCTGGCCCCCAAGGTCATATATCCCTTTTATTGATGCCAAAATGTTAGAGACCACTCTAGACTATTGCCAAACCTAACCATACAAATTCATTGTACTGGCCCCCAAGGTCATATATCCCTTTTATTGACGCTGAAACATTAGAGACTGCTCTAGACTGCTGCCAAACCTAATGAAGCAAATTGGCCATTGCCAGTTGCGGAAACTCAGAGATTTCTGAGAAAGTTACTCAATTTACTGTCTTCAACAAATCTGCTCAAACTCTGCAACTTATACAATACTTCCAATGGCTGCAAGGAGCGAACCGCACAAGTGGTTCAGCAATGAGCAGCCAATAAAAGATCACAAACTTACTCTGAAGAAATTTCAGTTCATTTTTATGTCATCGCCATAGCAGGCTTTGTGCCCATAGGACTCAGTACTCAGCACTATAGGATTTTTTATTCTTATGTTGCATGAAATACAAGCAAGGTATTTGTTGACATTGGAACAATGTCAAACTCTAGTGGTAAGTGAAGTCTAATATTGGCTGTGCAGACATGTGATGACAATTGCTTGTACACAACTATGCTACTCAATGTTGGCGCCTTGCAATGGTGGGGAACAACACAATCCTCAACACCATCACCCTCCTCTCCGCAACTCTAACAACCTACATCCCACTCCCCTACAACCCAGGTTTCTCCATCAAAAATGTCCTCTCCCTCCCCCAATCCCTCCCCCACTACTCCTCGGAATATGGCACATCTGTGAAAGCCCAACTCGAACTCCTCATGCCCCAATTCTCCATCTTTGGCACGACCCCGTTCCTGATACCAGCACTACCAGCAGCAAGGGTCATTGCTTTGAACTATGCATTGTCGAAAGTGGATTTTGGGACGGGGTACGTGGCATTGAGTGCGGGTAGTGGTGCAGTGGGTGATCTGTTGAGTTTGGGAGTGAGTGCGGTGATGTTGGGTAAGTTGGATGGGGAGTATATGGCTGCTGCAAAGGAGACGGTGGATGTGCTGCTCACTCAGATCCCACGATGGTCAAATGGAGTGATATCACATCGTCCGGATGTTGCTGAGCTTTGGTACCTTCTCCACTCCCTCCATCATTACTGGGTACTAACCTCCTTGCGCCCAGGGCAGACTTCGTATACATGGTCCCACCCTTCCTGGCCTACTACGGCGCAGACACCCAAAATGCCTCAGTCCTCCTCCAATCATACACCCAATGCCAACTCTACCAGCAGGTCCTCCAACCTTCAAGTGGCAGTGCATGGATGCACATCATGGATCCCCAAAACCAAGACACTGGACTCTGGTCAACTGGGAATGGGTGGGCCGCAGCTGGGATGACACGTGTCTTCGCTACATTTCTCAAATCGCCTTTTGCGCAACAACTCAATGGGAGTGCGCAGGTGGATGCAGTGGAGGGGTTGACAGGGTACATCAAGGAGATATTAGATGGCGCGATGAGCTCACCGATGAGCTTTGGGTTGTTGAGGAATTATTTGAACGATACAAGTGGTGATGGACAGGGTTTCCCTGAGATTTCGGGGAGTACGCTGTTGGAAAGTGTAGCGTATCGAAAGGCTGTTCTCTGTCCTGACGTTTTTTCTTCCTCCAACTCCTCCAACTCCACCTCTTCCTCGTCTATGTCCAGTTACATATCCTGGGCTGACAACATCCACGCTGTCCTAGGTGCATACAACGCCTCCGGCAACCCACACATCACAAAAACAGGAATAGCAACCCCAGCAGTGAACACACTGGATTGGCACGACACAACCCCATATACTTCTGGTAGTCCGGAGGGGCAGAATTTCATGGTGTTGATGCAAGGGGCAACCACCCGAGCATCCGGTTAGGACAACTGGTCCCATCGGGGTCGTGGGAGTCAACACGTGCAATCACAAAATGATTGTCACGCCCGCGCTCATTTAGCATGTGCCTTCAACGTTGCTTCAACACACTCCACAGATTCAATTGAAGACCCTTACCATAACACGTAAAATATCTGCCTTGCATGTTGTGTTTTCACTGTAGACAGGCTTTTCAATCGATTTGTTGTTCCTTCCCCCCATTCTCACTGAAAGAAATGCCAAAACCTCGACCTGCAGCTGAAGATCCAAAGGAAATTCAACTCCCTGGCGCTCCTAGGATAACAACCACAATCAATAATATTACTGGGAAGCACAGTATTCAATGTGATCTTTGCAGTACAGACATTTCTCTGACGACAACAGCAAATCCACGGTACTTTCTGCTTCACTGTGGTATGGGACCATGCCTACAAACACGAAAAAATCAAGGTCTTCCACCGCCTCCTCCTCCACCATCTATTGTGCCTTGGATTGTGGTCCTGGAGTGCAAGAAGTTCCTTGCTCAGGTTTGGGTATCAAGTGGCTTCCAGGCTTGATCTGGGAAACTTATCCATATCATCGACATGAGGTGAAAGTGATGGGATGGAAACCTGTCTTGTTTGGAGAAGAAAAAAATGAAATATATCTTCGATCTAAAAGATGCCTCAAAACTATTCTCAGTACAGACTACCCACCTTGCACAGAGTGCAAAATGCTCGAGTATTTGTCTCATTTTATCGAATTTATGGAACATGCTACAGAGGCAAAGAGCCATACACCTAACTGATCTATGTACAGATAAGAATTTGTGACCACTACTGTGACATTTGGATGCATGTGTCAAATCAGGCTAAATCCCATGACCCTGATGGGACCAGTTGACCCAACCGGATGCTCAGGTGGTTGCCCCTTGTGTTGATGTATGTGGCATGGAGGGACTGTGTGTATGCGGAGGTTTGTGGGAATCCATTGGCTGCTAGTTCAGGTGGGACAACAACAACAGCTGGGGCAGCGATGATGACAACGATGGGGAATTCACAAAGGATGGTGAAGAAGCGGATGCATGGTGGGCTGAGGAGAGCTTTGGATATATTTGGCAAGATTTCGGGGTGAACAGCTTCTGGTGGGATTGATTCCTGCCACTTTGATGTTGAACATTGAGTTTTACAGTTGAGCACATTGTTTGCAATGATTTCGGACACTAGCATGTATTTATATGACGTAGTGTGTTCCTCCCATCAAATTCTCGGTTAGATCCATTGAACCAATGGCAGCTCAGAAACATAAGCAAAAAACAGTTGCAAACACAAAAAAAAGGCCTTCTTTGCAGCATTTCGCCCTCCTTTTTTTTATGTAGGATCATATGTTCAGTTCCCCGCAGGGACACTTGTATGAACAAAAAAAATCTGCCATGATCTCGTGTGAGACCACGGCAGAGAAAGCAGATTGATATATGATAAAAGGAATGTAGCGTCATCCACAGAACATAACTGGGGGAAGTGGCCCCAACAGCGAATAGGTAATGGCGACAGTTTACATGAAAAGCTATGAAAGCATAAGTCGAGAATAAACGGCGACGAACAAAATGACATCAGCTTACACATCAATGGCCAAGGAAAACATATAAATGGACAACTTGATTAAAATCTAACTTGAAAAGTCAGTATACACACTGAGGAGCAGATAAATCGAGACCTGATAGACTTACTAACCAGCGTAAAATATGGCAGTTGACAAGGTGAAAGGTGCAGGGTGTACAACAATGTCACACCTGCGAATATACTTAAAAGAATTAGTAGATGACGAAAACAAGAGATAATGTGATACACACATTGTAAGATGGCGACGAAACGTTTCGTGCAACAAGATATGTCGCGAATACAATATATCGTGTCAGGACAATAGAGGGCGGTCGTGCACATGCAATAGTGTTTCCCAGATATTCAGAAATAGGGTCGACACCACATTGCGAGTTTACGCGATCAGACGTGATCCCAGCTCAGTGGAACACGATGAGAGAGCATGTGGGCTCACTGTACTGTGGCAGATGGTGGGGAAGACGCTGGACACAAGAGTGAGTCCAGATATATGACCGAAAATGATGGGGAGGGACTAACCTAGTGCCATAAAAGAGTGTTATCCTGAACACAAAAAGAATCATGTTGATGTCGCTGGGTGACCATGAGCAGAACAGCAGGATAGTGCTCCTTGGACAGCAGAAACATAGAGTAATCAGGATTGATGTCTACACTAGAAGCAAACATGAGCCATCATACATGAGCAAAGACAATGTTAATGGACAAACCTTCGAGATAACCGCATCCACGAGATAGTGTTTTCCGGAAGTTGAAAAATAGGGTTGACGTCGTCGAAGATGGCTGTGAGGGTGACGAAAGGGTGGCTGTGAGTGCAACAGCACTCCTTGGACGTGGCGTAGAGTATTCAGGATGTGTGTCAATGCTGGAAGCAAAGGTGAGTTGTCATGAGCAAAAACAACATCGATCGACAAACCTTGAACACAACGACATCCACGACATAGTGTTTTCCAGAACGCGAAAAAATACGGTTGACATTGTCAAGGGTGGCTGTGAGGGAGGCAGCACTTCATGCTGTTGTATAGCATTCCCCAGATGGCTAAAAATTGAATTTGAGGTGGACAGGGCATGGAGGCGCAGTAAGTCGAAAGAAAAAAAACCAAAAAGGTTAGAGGTGCAGGTGTGATGGAGAATGGTGCTTTCTAAGCATGTAAAGTATCAGCGTGTGAGCAAATAATATACAAGAAAGAACACACCCATGACAGAAACCCCGGGAGCTTGACAGCACAAAGTGCTGTCAATAATCACAATCCCCCAATCGCAAAATATATAATGTGGCGTAGTGCAGTGAGAATTTCTGTCGATACTGGAAGCAAAGGTGAGTCATCATACACAAGTGGAAACTGTGTCAATCAACAAACCTTGCAAAAGGTCACACCAACGGGATAGCATTTTCCGGACTGTGTAAAATCAAGTCGAGACTGTGAGCACCGTCTATGAGTGCATTCCTCAGATGGCAAAAAATCGAATTTGGGCGCAGGGACATGAAATGTGCTGGAAAAAGACAAGGTGGGCACATAAGGAAGTTCGGGATATGTAGGAATGACTGCTGCATTCTACATAGGTAAAGTATCAACATATGAAGAGGCAATACCCAGAAAATAATGTACCATGAGAGAGGCCCCCACAGCTATCTATAAAATAAAAATCATTGGTGACGAAGTGAAGATCTGAGATGGCACCAATTGCAGACAGATGAGCATTGAGGTTGAGCCCCAGTCAAGGTTGAGCCCCAGTCAAGGTTGGAACCCTAAGGCACAGCAGAACGAGAAAAATCAAGTGCACATCTGGGCATGGTCCATGAGCCAAACAATGATGTTGAATACACAAGAAACAACTAACCAAACTATCTGAAAGCTGGCAAAAGGGAAGGCAGAGATAATGGTGCACAAGAGCTTGGTGGTCGGAGAAAAACTTGACAGTGCCTAAAACAGTCTATTGGTCAATGTCATTGAAGCCAAACAAAGATAGACTCACCACGATAAGATGGATGATGTCGATGACAATGAGGGCATCTGCAAAACAAAACAATGAAGGTGAGTACATTGGATAGTGGACAGATGCATGACTGACTCACCAATCAAGGGGAGGTATTACTGGAGGATGGCAACCAAAATGGGCATAATGAAGGCAAAGGGAAGAGGTGAGTTGCATGTTAACTCTGCAAGGCTCTTATATGCTCTAGGTGCCAAGGAAATTCAACAAAGGTTTCGTGAGAGCAAGATACTAGACTGAAAATCGCATCAATCAATAACCGGTAGCAACCCACTAGTGACAATTTCCAGACATGAACATACTAAGCATGGGGAACAAACAGGGAACTCCTCATAACCTGAGATCTACCTAAGCCTGACACCCTAACTACTAGCATATTGAGACCCTTAAGATTCGCATTTCTGAGACTCTCAGCTTAAGTAAATTTCTATGACTCAAATGTTCAGAAAGATATTTTTTGTAATCAAAGAACTCCAAGGAATACTCCTTCTGAACATTTGAGCCATAGATGGCTCAGGAAATCTTAATGACGGTAAACTAAAAGCCCTTCACTGTGAGTTCTAGTCAATGAAACCCATGCAGAGCTTGCCAGAAACATTATTAGTTCCTCTGAGAATAGTGTGATGCAAAGAAAAATTTCCAGGAACACACATTTTGAATAGAAAATTACACCATTGTGCGGAACATTGGCAGAACGCATTGCTGGCAAGGCCCAATTACGTGGGTGATGCTGGTGATTCTGTGGAAATTTGGGATACCACTCACCAAATTTTCAAAGTTGCCATCCTTCCGACACACTCCCCAGCTCTCCTCGAGGTCTTTACCATCCCCCATGAGTTCCGGCGGATTCCAAGTGGAATGTTGGAATTCCAACGGAAACCAGTTGGCTGGAGCCTCAGCCATTTTGGTTTCCAATTCCATGGAAATTCCAACAGGATCCGATGGAATCCAGCAGAAATGGTTGGAATCCAGGAGCCTCCCGGAACAGTTTCCATTGGAATTCCAACCAGATTCCATGGAATGCCAATGGAAAGTGTATTCCAGGATGGAATCCATGGAGGACGTTCCGTATTTCGAGAGTCCGAACTGCCGCCGATCCGCCGATCCGCCTGTCGCCTAAGGCAGCATTGTCACATGCAGATCTTTAGTTCGACTTCGTGCCAGAATAAAATCTACTTGCCAACTATTGGCGTTGACCGGGTCCCCCCAAGGTAGGTGCCAGGATCTCACAAAACCTTGACAAAACCTGAATCAGTAAACGATGCTTCCATTGACCCTCAGTAACCGTGCTTAAAGAGTGAACTTCGCGTCCAAGCCAACATCAACAAATGTTTATTGCAATGATAGCAATGTACTATACATCCTATAATATGAATGACTGGGTATGAATACAACAAGGCGGGATCTAAACAGCAGTCAGAATCGCGAGCGTGCATGTCGTGGGGTGTTGTGGTCAGAGGCATTTTAGATACTGCGGCCGAGCGCAAGTCGCGCATGGCCCTGCTGAAGTGTCGGGGGTACATATCGGTGGTGGTGGGACTGGCTGCTGCCACGGAGGCCAATGGAACGAACGACGAAGAGGCAGACTTGCCCTTCTTGAGCTTGCACATCTTCCCCTTAGACGTCGTCGATGTCCCAGTGGCACCACCGGTCTGGGTTGCCGTTGCCTTTGAAAATGCGGTCGTGGTTGCGTTTCCAGGAGTGGAAGTGCCACCGTTCACAAATGCAGCGACAGGAGGACCGGGGAAGGTGTATGTATGGTGCACAGGCATCGAATACCTGGGAATCAAAGATGCCAGGGTCGTTGTCGCTGCACGCGCCTGGCAAGTGACCACCCAAAGGGTCAGGGACTCCAGTGCCCGATGCGCCAACCATAAGCTGCGAACAGGCGGGGTAAAACTCTGCACCGCCGAGTGATTTGGCGAGATGGAGAGCAATGATTTCGTGGCGGGTGAGGTAGCTTCGGGCCTGGAGTAGTAATTACTATTGAATGAGAACGCTAAAAGGAAACAATGATTCTGACCTGCCATCCGACAATGAGCTTTGCCTCCCCCGGTTCACCCCCTCCGTGTTCGTGGTGGAGAAGTGATCCCGTTGTATTGCCTGTACCAAACTCTACCCCAGTTCGATTCTGCCTACCCTGGATTCTCCCGCGCAGCGCTGCGACACGCATTTGGGCCTGTTCGTTGAGGGATACAGGCTGACCAGGACGACGTTGGCTGGATGCTGGCTGGTTTACAACAGATGACGGCCCCAAGGGACCGGAAACCTGAGATTCTGTCAATGACATGTGAGTATTGTCACCATTCGAAGACAATCCAAAGGGTAATACCTTGCTGAGAAGACCCTTTCTCCACACAGGCAGCAGACCCACAGGTTTGAGCTTGTCCAGGCTGCGCGAAAGACATGTTGCGCCTTGTGATGCCACACTGGAGGCATTGCTGCCATTTCTGGTCAAATTTGTGGGTTAATACTCATTGAAAGGATGAAAGAGTGTTTTGCTGGTCTTACCCGAAGCTCATTGTAATCTGGAGAACCTAGTTCGTGCAGCGCCAGTTTCATGCACTTTGAACAATCACCTTCAGCTTGACGAAGAGGAAAGGTAAGTCCACATCCATCACAAGGGAGTGGCGCTATATCTTCTAGTGGTTGACACTCCGTAGACATAGTGGTGTGAACGTGGAACAATGGAAGGCAAAAAAAGAAAAGGGTGTGACGAGGCAAAATTGGAGGGTGAAACTCAAACGAGTTCTGCACTTCAGGGAAGAGAAATGTAAGCATCGATCAAATCACAAATTAATGTTCGTGTCATACGTTTCTTCCCTCAAATTCATTGCCTCTCCGGATTATACGCAACTATAATGGTTAATAAAACTGGTGTCAACGGTGCCGGTAAAAAGATCTGTGAGCCAAAGTCTTCAATTTTACCAAGTTCAACATACTGAGCTTCAAATTTGAAGACCCACCAGATGATGTCTTCAAAAACGTGCTGTTGACATACTCCAGACACTCTCTCTCGCAGGACCAAAAGTTGGCACGTCTACAAGTAGATCACCACCTTAGCATTGGGTAAGTCCACTAGCAGCGGATCGAGGGGCATTGTTGTTGACAGGCATTGCTATATAGAAAGACCAAGTTGAACGAACTTGAACGCCGATTCAACATTCCATCCGTTCGCAGGAATCGACTAGGAGCAGAAGAAGTCGTTCAGCTTGTTGTTGATGAGGTTGAAAAGGACGTGACACAGAATAATGGCCCGAATTACTTCAAGGCGAAGCTCAAAGACAAAGACGTCAAAGTCCCTCGGTGAGTACCCCTTGAATAGATTCTTTTCAGGTCATTTAAAGTTGTATGCCCCCTGGAAGAGACACCGTTAGGAAGATTATGCGGGAACATTTTCCAGATGGTGCAGAGAAACGATTTCCAGGAAAAAAGAAGTTTAAAGTAAACCGACAGCCACTCTCCGCCCTTGGTCCATATCACGAAATATCAGGAGACGGTCATGAGAAAATTGGTGCCCTGGCATTGCAGATGGGAGGTTTAGGCTTTCCGATATATGCATACCGACTCCCGAGACAAATGGACAGGGCAACTACCACAAATAGATGTTGTTCCTGACAGTCGTTCTCCTGGAGCTGTAGGCCACCTCTATCTCGATTTGCTAGAGAAACTGGGAGGTTAGTTCGATTTTTTCGATTGGAAAGAAAAGAGTTCAGACTCGACATCTTCAGGAATGCCAATGCAATTGGACCTTGATAAGGGGTCCGAAATCGGCTGGCAGGTTGCGTTTCAAGTTGCTCTTCGGTGCATTGTGATATTGGTTCCGAAGCAAGAAGTCAAGTGATGGATTGTTTGTCTTCAGCGAGGCCTTTGCCCCTCAAATTGATCCTGATGTGTATTGCAGCGTAGCACTTCTGAAAAGTGTTCACAACATTATCATCGAGGCATTGTGGCGGTGGCTTCGTGAGAAAGCGGGTTACAATTTGCGAGAAGTCATTCTACAAGGCAAAACTGACCGTCTGATCAATCCTGAGGTCAATTATCACCAGTATGTTTAATCGTTTGAGCATTCTTGAACTTCAGATTCAATCATTTGATCGCTGACATTGTTTTAGGCATTTGTTTTACTGGATTTTTGTTCCACTCATTCAAAGTGCCCTTGACGAGTTCCATGTCTATTGGAATCAGCGCACTGTCCGGTGGCAGTCTGGCAAAGACATGCCATCTGGACACGTCCCTGATGACGCCGCTGCTCATCCTCAGTTTTATGGTGGAATTGACTGCCTCATCCGCTTACCAAAGGATGTCATTTCTGACCTTCGACAATATCTGGCTGATGAAGCAGGGCCCAGAGAGGAATTCCGGCGGTTTTATCCTGAAGATTTTGTGCCTGTTGCCGAGGAGGTATACCTATCTGTTGGCCGCCCAGAGTTATCGCTTCTTACTGCCTGGAGGGTTTTCAGTAAGATGTCTGACGTTATAGAAACAAATTCTTTGTATTAGTATTCCCTGGCCTTGATAGCCATTAAACAGGCTGCAAAATGTGGATATTACACGTCAGCCATCAAATATGTGTAGGATAAGGGAAGATATAATGTATAAAAGATGTATGAAGTGGTTCTATGGAAAGTTGGTCAGTCAATGAGGCAGGGTAGATGGGCGTGCGGTCCAAGACGTCGTTGATCACTATCGATCAATCGATCACTGTTTACCTAGGGTTAGGTCTGGGCCCAGACCTAAAGCTTTTGAAATCAAAATTGAACCGCAGCGCTCCCGCCTACTGTAGTGCCGTGCGAACCAGACAGGCGGACAGGCGGATCGGCGGCGGTTCGGACTCTCGAAATTCGGAACCTTCTGAATCCATGCATTCCATCAGAATTCCGAAGAAATGCAGTGATTGTAGTTGTTATTATAATAACATAGAAATAATTACATGAATAAGGATTGAACCATAGCCTCAAGAGACATCGTGGGAACTGAGAGGAGCATTATTACCACTATGCTATACAACCGTTACAAGGCATAGAACTATCAGTTAATATATGTCGTTTTCGTGTTCACCTTCCCAAACGAGCGTCGGCAAACGCCGACACACGATTTGGTGCCATCAACAACCCTCAACCCTCTTCTTCCTCAACTCCCACCATCCTCCATAACACCCCTCCCTTGCCGCAGCGCCACCACATCGCCCATGGCCACCACCGCCCACTACCGTCGTCAACCGCCCACACCAACCTCAGCACACGCAAACGACGATGGCAACAACGTGCCAATGCCACGTCACCACCCCCAGTAGCCGAACGAGCGCCTGCCGCGTCGACGGCAGGTAGTGAAGACGACGTGGCACGTCCAGAGGGACCGTTGATGTGCCACGTCATCGAAAGTGAGTACACGCCCCCCTCTCATTTCCCTCTTTCACACCGAATGCAGAGGCCACGTCGCCAACGGCGACGTGGCAACCATACGACACACCACCACCATACGGCGACGCGACAACAACGACACAGCACGACGCGACAACAACGACCCACGACGACAATGGACGACGACCAAGCCACGACCACGACCACCACGCACGGATGGATGACAACCAACCCACGACCACAAGACACGACCACCACGCGATTCGCGTGACCACGGCCAGAACACGACAACGACACGACCACGCCCACGACGAGGACGAGGACGACACATCAACGGACCACAACAACAATGACGACACGTCAACGACGAAGCACCACCACGACGCGTCGAAGCACCACCACCACGACCGACAACGCGACAACGACGAGCACGAGCACGACGACGCGTCAACGCGTCAACGACGAAGCACCACCACCACCACGCGTCAACGACCAGGACGAGGACGACGTGTCAACGGCAAGCACGAGTGGTGGGACACCATGTGAGTACCCATCACTCCTCCCTCCATCACTCCACTCCCTCTCCCTCCCTCACTCACTCCCCACCATACCCTCCCTCCCTCACTCACTCCTCACCATACCCTCCCTCCCTCACTCACTCCTCACCTACCCTCCCTCCCTCACTCACTCCCCACCATACCCTCCCTCCCTCACTCACTCCCCACCATACCCTCCCTCCCTCACTCACTCCCCACCATACCCTCCCTCCCTCACTCACTCCCCACCATACCCTCCCTCCCTCACTCACTCCCCACCATACCCTCCCTCCCCCTTATATTAGTTCAATACTTTTTGTACATAGTTATTATCAATGCAATATGTCTGTTCAATGATCACTTTTGTATGAAATTCTAAGGTCTAAGTTACACAAAGTGGTTAGGTAATAGGTGGAGTGATATGTATTGATTATTCAGGGATTGAACTTGGAATCCATTGGAATCTGTTGGAATTCCACTTGGAATCTGAATTGGAATCTGTTGGAATTCCACTTGGAATCTATTGGAATGAACTTGGAATCTGTTGGAATTCCAAGTGGAATTCCAACACTCCACCGGATTCCGCCGTAATCCGCCGGAACTCATGTGGGATGGTAAAGTACAGCTCTCCTCCCACCTCTGGTACTCTTCTACACCAGGTGAGTGTTCTTGACTTGAACACAACTTTTTTTCATACTTACCTTCTTGCAATCTTTCAGACTTCCCTCAGCGTTCACCATTTTCATAGACCCCCATCACAGTCCCTGTCACCAATGGAGCACAAGTGAATTGCAGTTTCCTTGAATTGAAGATTACTCACCATTTCTTAAATAGCCAGGGTCCCGTTGCTAGAGGTTCATGATGTGTCACCGAGTAGCGCATGAAGAGGCAGCTGCATAAGGTGCGTAATTCATCAATTCACATCTGTCTTTACCTACCTGCTTGCAATACCCTCAGATTTCCACTACTGTACCTGCATACATGTCCCATCATCACGCAAGAAACAGATCACCATTGCACTTTGTATTAGTATTTAGAAGTCCAGTCTCGTGACTGGAAAAAAACCGTAACCAGACCGGACCAAGACCACAAAAGACTGGACCTGCGGTTATGGTCTTTTATTTTTGAGATGTTAAGACCGCAAAAAAACCGGTTAACGTGAACCAGTCTTCACCGGTTTGGACCAGTCTTTTGTAGCCCCTTAAATACCCTTTAAAACACGCCCAAGAACATAAAACTTGGTAAAGAATCGAGAGAGATATGAATTAAATGGTAAAATATTTTTGGAAATAGTAGATGTACCAGATTTATTTTATAGAAACACCAATTCCTAACAGAATTTAACGTTCTTGGGCTCGTTTTAAAGCCAGTAGACATGTTAATAAATTTACTGATTCATAATTTTAAAATATTAGCCTAAAGACCGGTCATAGACCGGTTAAAACTGGTGCAGACCGAAACCGGTCTAAAGATCACAAAAAGACCACAGACCGCAGTATTTTGCGGTCCAGTCTGGTCTTTTTGACTTCTGGGAAAAGGGTAGACCGGTTACGGTTACAGTTAAAGCCCCTGGGCATCAAAAGAGCAGACCAGACTGGACTTTCAAACACTACTTTGTATGTCAACCTTTGGAGGAGCTTCTTGCACTGTATTCTAAAATTTTCACAGTGTCAGAAGCCCATCACAAACATGCAATGTGCGACTCAAGTCATCAACACCTTGACTACATGTTCACACTTGGCAAGGGCGCAAAATTGTAGTCGATGACTCGACACAGGCATGACTGCACAGTGTACCAACTCCATCTAGAAAAAGTCATGTAAGTAAATATATTCTCACAGGCTATTTTGGTGGCTACCCTTACAACTTGATGCAGGAATTCCTTCTCTTGTAAACTCTTGAGGAGCAGGAAGGGAGGGTGGATGATGATGGTCGTGAGCAAGGAGATCACTGGCATCTGAATCATCTGTTCCATTATTTTATCTCTGAAATCTATCTATTGAATCAATGAAATTATGAAAATACCGATTGACTTCCACCTCCTCTTTTTGAGTTCAACATATTGATGACTCCAAACATTGAAGAATAAATTTACATACATAGTAGTGGTTGTTTGAGTGACCAGCACATCTGCATAGAGATTTTTAGAAAATTACCTAGTCCACAGAGCCAATGTGCATTGTTTTCTCTGTAAAACATCTGGTCATGCTTGGAAGTTCTCCTCAAAACTAAATATCATGGATGTCAATGTTCTATTCTGAATGATAAACCCTTTATTATTGTGTCTGAATTTCTGCAAGTTCTGGTGCTATAATATTGTACACAGCAATGTGTGGCCTGGGCATGTGCAGGTGTGCAAAAGCTATTCTGTCTGCTGTGCTTCCTCACTGACGATTGATTGGGAAAGGATATCCTTTCCATCTTGTATCATAGCCAACAAGTAATGGACCAAGATTTATTGGCAAACAAAAATCAAAGTACACTTACCAAAGTGTCCTCAGTGTCCTCCTCCATCACCACCCCAGAATACATCGCACTTGGAAGTTCTCCTTGAAACTGAAACAGATAAAGTTACGTATCATGGTCCTATTCAGATAGCTTATCTGATATCCCTCAGGTGCAGTACTTTACCCTCCCCAGGTTATTCCATATGGAATGGATGGAATGGGGGGTGGACTGCACAAATTCCAGATGGATTCCATGGAGTGGGGGATGGATTCCATGGAATGGCTGATGGATTCCATACTTTTCCACATGGATTCCATACTTTTTCCACATGGAATCCATACTTTTTCCACATGGAATCCATACTCTATTCTATATGTTCTATACCATTTTAAGGGTGGAATCCATATGGACTCCATATGGAATCCACATGGAATGACTTTATGAAATAATTCTAAGTCCACATCATATAATCATGGTTTCTATATTCATGAGTCATGGCTGAGCAGGAAAAATTGAAATGTATTAAATAGACTACACAATTATTTTTTACTATTCTCAATATTTAAGGGAGGGGGGAAGACAGGGGGAAGTGATGGAGGGGGGAGGATGTAGTAGAGAGTGAGGGGGGAGGGAGGGGGAAGGAGTGATGGAGGAGAGAGGGAGTGGTGAAGGGAGGGAGTGGTGAAGGGAGGGAGTGGTGAAGGGAGGGAGTGGTGAAGGGAGGGAGTGGTGAAGGGAGGGAGTGGTGAAGGGAGGGAGTGGTGAAGGGAGGGAGTGGTGAAGGGAGGGAGTGGTGAAGGGAGGGAGTGGTGAAGGGAGGGAGTGGTGAAGGGAGGGAGTGGTGAAGGGTGAGGTGGGAATGGATGGAGGGGGGAGCAATGGGAGGGGGAGCAATGGAGGGAGGGGGAGAAATGGGAGGGGGAGCAACAGAGGGAGGGGGAGCAATGAAGGGAGGGGGAATAATGGAAGGGTGGTGGTGAGGAATGTTGGAGGGAGGGGGAGCTTACCTGGGCTCGTCGTTACCCATTTCCGTTCATGCGAGCAGAATCCTCCGTGCGTGGGTGCTCTGGGTCCATGTTTGTGGGCGGTGGGCTCGTTTTGGCGTCCGTGGGCTGGGTTGCCATGGGCGGTCGTGTCGTGGGCGGTTGCGTCGTCTTCGTGGGCGGTTGCATCGTCTTCATGGGTGGTCACGTCATCTTCGTGTCATTGCGTCGTCTTCATGTCATTGCGTCGTCTTCATGTCATTGCGTCGTCTTCATGTCGTTGCGTCATCTTCATGTCGTTGCGTCATCTTCGTGTCATTGCGTCGTCTTTGTGGGTGGTCACATCATCTTCGTGTCGTCGCGTCATCTTCGTGTCGTTGTGTCGTCTTTGTGTCATCGTGTCGTCTTCGTGTCGTCTGCGTGGGCGGTCGTGTCGCCTTCGTGGGCGGTCGTGTCGCCTTCGTGGGCGGTCGTGTCGCCTTCGTGGGCGGTCGTTGACGTCCGTGGGCAGTCATTGACGTCGGCGTGGTGTGGTGCACCCCTGGCTGTAGTTGTTGCCCTACTCACCCACATTATTGCACTTAATGCTTTGCCATTAACCATGCATTCAAGCTAGGGGTCTGCAGCATGCATTGGCACCTGGGCTGGCCTGGGATTTGTTGGGGCAGGCTTTTCATAAACATATATCAATAGTCTCTTATTTCCCTTCAAATATATAAAAGTAAAAGTTCCTCTGTTGAAAAGGTCACAAAACATCAGCACACAACAATTGTAAACAATTCTGAAAGTGTGTTCTGAGGAGATTCTTTGTGCCCTACAGCTTTGTTCCTCATAGAAACAACATCTGAAACTTTACCATATATATATTTTCTAATGTTCTGACACCTTCAAATAGTTTCCCTCTATCAAATCTGACTGAATTGAGCTGGATGGGACAAACCATTTTTGGATGACTTTGGGCCTTAGACGCTGTTGGTACACAGTTGTAAACAACACTTAAGAAAAAGGTAGCTAGCCTACTACATGACATACAGGGAAAGAAACTGTGTAAAAAGGATGTGCTAATATATAATTTGAAAAGAAACATGTAGACCAGCTGTCAATGACCTCAGAACCCATCGTCATCCTGTAGGCATCGTCCTGTGACATAGTTGCTTCATCATCGTCCATTTTGCCATCTGGTGTCATCGCGTGAGCCTTGAACCCATGTGCAGAATCTTCCGGCCTTCTGGGGCACCACAGGCAAGTGATGCTAGCATTGTCTGGTTCCGGCTTTGCACAGAGAAAGATGGGGCGTCCAGGGAGGACGGTGTGGGTAGGTGCCAGTAGAGAGGAGGAGCGGCGGGACATGGGCATTGTGTGTCAGTGTCGTTCACTGGTCGTCCCGTGCTGTTCATATCTTCATTCCATGTTGTTGTTGGGTCGTCGTCATGCCATATCATTGTCGTTGGGTCATACTTGTCCCATGTTGCGTCGTCGTCCTGTGGCCTCCTCCTCCTCCTCGTTGTCCGCTGACGTCGTCCCGTGTCGTCATTGTATTGTCCATTGTTGTGTTCATCGTCCACTGGCATGTTGGCTGTCCATTGGCGTGTTGGCTGTTCCTTGTCATATGACGACGAACAAAGAATGTGTTGTTCAACGTCTGGTTGCCACGTCGCTATCAGCAACATGTCAACTGGGTTGTGTGTGATCATGGGAATGGGAGTGAGGGGATGTGAGCTGACCTTTTAGTGACGTTGGTAAAGGGTGCTTGTCACCCTTCGTGGTGGTAATGCAAGGCAGACGCCTGTGAGTAGTGGGCATGTGTGACCCATTGTTGTTCGCTGGTGGTGGTGGGCTTTCGATGGTGGATCGTCGTCATCGTCGGGCCTTGGCATCATGGACGTCGATGCCATGAGGGTTGACATCAATGTGGCACGCCCAGATGGACCATTGGCGTGCCATGTCAGACAATTGGTGGTGCTGTTGGCATTGAAAATCAAGTGAGGTATGAATGGTGCTCAAGTAGGATAGGCCCTTACCATCCTGGAGTTTGTGTCTAGCGAACTTCCCCAAGTCTGTTGGAATCCCGAATGGTGAGGTGGTTGATTCTGTGCAAATGCCGAGGGCCAGGTGCTCGATAGGCGATGACTCGAACGGGACGTTGGATTTGAGGGACGGTTCTGTGATTGGAGTGAGAGTGGACCGACGGTGAGCCGTTTGTTGAATGGAAGGCAAGATGGAATGGTGGAGATGGTGTCGACCAGGTGTTGACGTGGCGTACCAAACCCACCCATCAACAACGCTTGGAAGATGCCGAGCATTGACGGAGAGCTGCGCAACTCACTTGTGCATTTGTTATTGGATGAAATAAAATATGGAAAAATGTGTTTAGAGGTTCTGAAGGGCAATACTACTATTTGAGATAGGTAGCATTATGTATTTACTGGGCAGAGAGTAAAAGTCAGACGAATTGCAATCTACAACTGAGATTCCGGCACTTTCAGTTGCTTTATTGTGACCCTCTGCACCTATTCCCATTACCTGTATCCACACAATCCTCTGATTTCTATGAAACTTTGTGAATCCATTCGAGTTTTCATTCTGAAGATATCCATATAAATTTCTTGGCCATTGGATGGTTTTTGTGAACACAGTATAGTTTATATCAGACAAAATACACTCTATTCAAGGACTCTCACAACAAATCCTTCATTATCAAAGTGAATACAGCCCTCAAGAATTTCATACTGGTATCCACCTACCTAGCTGAGATTATCTGAATTTGATTCCCTGAGTATTAGGCAAGCAGAGAAAGGTTTGCCAACACAATTGTATGTTTTGAAACCCTCCTGAAAATTGAAAATTGGGAACAAGACTTTCAGGTGTGTTATTTCACTCAAAACTTAACAATTCATGTCCTAATATTGTTTCACTTATGCTACAGGTGTTATTAGACTATAGCTGGCAGGTTTTAAATTACAAATTGCTGAATTGATATGTTTTTTATCTTGAAAAAGAGAGATAGTACTCCTTTCTCTGCAACTTTTAGCCAACTTCTGATGAAAGTTCAAGATAAAAGTTGTAAGTTAACCATGTTAAGATGTATTACCATTGCCAGAGTAATGTTGCCTCTCCTTGCTCAATGTCAGTTGTATTTCCGGTGTTTTCAATGGGTTTGGGAAGTTTGCATCTATTTGTCTGAAGCTTCAAACACGTCATCCGAGTTCACTACGTCGCATCCATCTACTTGCGAGGGTGCCATGAATGTGAAAGATGAAAAATCAGGCTGTATTCTACTTGTAGAGTACCAGAATGTTTATGTTTTATTAAATTTAGGTGTGAAGAATGAATAGCATGCCTTTTGAGGATCTGGCCACAGGAAGGCAGCTATTTGCAACTATTTTGCAATGCCTTTCACAATGTCATCCAGCTGGAACTTGAGCCATCCATCCAAATGCTGCTCAATAAAAATACCAAAAGTCATATGATATGTCAAAAACAAGTTGCAACTGAGGAAATATGAACTTGATACAATCAATAATATGAATGACACCTTCCAAAATGCATTTCCATGATTTTCGTCTCAAAAGCTGGCTTTGTTGACAATTGTTTGTTACTTGGAAAAGGTCATCCGGAACATGACTTGTGCATCCATCATCTCCACATCTCTGATTGAGGTGGAAATTTTTGGAAAAAATCAGAAATATATTTCTACATCACTTGGTAGCTCTGAGTGGCTGTAACATTAAATTTGAAGGAGAAAAATGAGAATTATCATAACTGAAATATTCTGGTGAAATGCAGCTTTTTCAGAGGGATTTTGACATGGAAAAAACATATGTGGATGCCCTTTTGGCAAGAGAAACATACACAGGATACAGGAAAACATACCAGTCATCAATACTGATCCAGGATGTACCATTTCTAAGAATTTTATATTGTAAAACATATCTGAGCTATATTTAGATTTGTTATATATCACAAACATGTTGGATCCAAAAATAGAACAGATTTCAAACATTAGCAAGCTATTTTTGATTTTTCTATCATATCTGATGCCAGATATTAATATTTCACCCAAAAAAACCAAAAATTTCCCCCCTAGGGTGATTTTTCAAAGATGAGCAGAATGCAAGCAAAAGTAGGCAAAGGACATTGCACATCAATTAGCAAATGGTGTGCAAGGCAATTGCACACCTCGTAGGGCTAGGACTACATCTATGGCTGTGTGGTGGTGGGCCATTCGTGGTGGTGGATCTGCCACATCACCACGTGACACCCATGGTTTGGGTCAGCTCAATGGGTGGGGTGGTTTGTTCGCAGGTGGAATGAAATGACGGACGACGACGAATGTCGTATCCGTCATCTGGTTGCCACGCTGCTGGCTTACCTGGGCCTTCCACTCGCCTTCGTTCCCACCCATCTGTGGTCGTTGTCGGCATCGTTGTTGTCGTTGTTGTTGGTGTTGTCGACGTCGTTGCCGTTGTTGTCATCGGCATTGTCGACGTCATTGTCACGGGCAGCCGTGGCTTGAGATGGTGGGATGGATGGTGATGGTGGTGGTGAAAGGAAGAAGCGACATGGCAACGCGACAGCCATAGCTGTCACGTTTGAGACGCCACATGACAGACGACGCTATATAGATACCTTTAGTTTAACTTACAACAAAGCCTGTGTGGCTCAGGTGGTTACAGCGCTGCTTCCATTCACGATGTTGTGGGTTCAATTCTCTCAGGTGCAATTTTTTTATTTTACTTAAATAAAGTAAGGACACTATAAATACTATATTTATATGTATTCTAATGGTATAATGGTCATTAATTCTGTCCATGGAATCCATATGAACTGCTCCATGGAATCCAGTGGAATCCATGTAAATTCCATATGGAATTAATCATTCCATGGCCATTCCATCATCATTCCACATGGATTCCATGTTGTCCATGGAAGAAGAAATTGGCTGGGGTCTCAGCCAACATTCATTCCATGGATTCCATATGGAATAACCCAGGGAAGGTAAAGACCTCCTCAGGTGCCTGGATTCTCCAAATGTTTGGTGCGTAAGTAGATCTTTAGTGGGAACATGCACTTAGTGAGCATTGTCGATAAATTCGGACACTAAACTATCCTGCTCATTTGAAAAATATGAATTGGAATAGGCATATGTTATGTCAATGTAAAAGTCCAATAGTTGATGGCACAGAGGATTGTCAGTGTGTAGAATACCTGCTATGGTCTACTCCTCCTCCTCCCCATCATCCATTCAGGAATACATCACGCTTGGAACTTCTCCTTGAAACAGATAAAATTTTATATCAGGTCCTATTCGGATATTCTATCCGGTATCAACGTGCCTGAATTTCTAGAGCTTTTGCGCTAGAAGATTGTCAGCGGGAAAATGCGCACAACACTGCTAAGCCCTTGCATTCTGTATATTCCACTCATTGAACAGCAATTTTAAGTAGTGTATGTATATTCCCATTGGAATTAGATTGAAACAGCTCTTGAACAAAGATTATTTGTGCACAGAAGTCTGAGAATACCTGTTCTTGTCTCCCCCTCCTCCTCCCCAATGTTAGGGCTGCGCACCGTCCGTTTGACGGGGACGGCCGTCGATCGACGGGCGTAAACTTGCAACTCGAAAGCCAGAACGGAAACGGGCGGGAAAAAAACGGCCGTAAATGGGTTGTACGGCCGTTTGCCCACCCTTTCAATGTATATAATTTTTTTCACAATTTTTGGGTACCTGATAAATGTAAGAAGAGATATAGAGCACGAAGGATGAAGATTTGCACCTTCAAACAGCAAATCGTGAGCTCGAGGTGTGAAAAAACAATGAATAAACCTTTCGCGGGGTTTCAATTGCGATGAGTCAGCACATTCTGGTTGTTTTTGAGCTGCAATTTAACCCGCTTGGAGACATTTAGCATTGATAGAGATATGCAAAATTTAATAATGAAGCACTTCATATATTTCAATAAATAGTACAGCTAATTGTGGGTAAAATTACAGAATATGTCGATGACCCGTACGGATGAAAACGGGTGTTCAGCAAGCCCAAACGGAAACGGGTAATTGTCCGTCAGACCCGTCCGTCAACCCGTCTATGACGGGCACGGCGCGCAGCCCTACTCCCCATCATCTGCGCTATAATTGCCGCGCTTGGAATTTCCCCTTCAAACTGACACTATTACGTGTCAGGGTACTGTTCAAATAATATTCGGAGTATTTTGTGCCTAGCGTTCCGGAACTTCCATCGCCAGAAGTTCGTTAGTGGGAATCTGCGTATCTTTGCACCATTCCGCGATTTCACCTCCTTCGTACCCCAGTTGCACAACCTTCTTATTTTTTTAACATACCGCTGTATTGATTTTGATAGAAATGACTAAGGTTGTAAGCGTCTCGTTGAGAAGTTTGAGCTACCACTCTAGCCAAGTCCTTCTCCTCCTCCCACCCTCACCGCCGCAACATACCGTGCTTGAAATTTCCCCTTGAAACTGACAGGTACAGGGGTCTTACCTAGTTACCTGTATCCGACCTGTCTCTGTTAGGCCTTCTGGATTTTCTGGTGCTGGAAGATAGGTAACGGGGATCTAGGCGCACGAAATTTGTGTCTCTTTCCTCTCCATTGGATTCCGTTTATTCCGCATGTATGATGATAGCTCCGCTTAGGGTTCGTGCGTAGCCCATTGTAGCCCTGGTTTGAAATATCTTCCAACTTCACCGTACACAAGTAAGCGAGGGGAGGAAACTGCGGATATTTATGGATTTTGTTTAGACCTCAGTTGACAGAATTGAATTCGACGAAAAAGTACTCGATGTATCTACAGAACAAGCGGTCAGTGTAAGGGGGGGTTTGCTCCGGAATTATGTACGATACACGCCAGAAACAACGAGGACCATTCTTCTGCGTCGATTTCCTGAATTTGTGAACCCTGTAATCTTCGGCGGACCCTGGAATAATTTTTGTTGATGCGTAACCAGTCCGGCTACAAGGGTCACGCGTACGTACTCTCGGTTATCTTCCTGAATGTATAAAAGGGCTGGGTTAGCTCTGTATTCAATAGGATTCCAATCCTCCGCTTACCTTACCGCCCTCTCCTCCTCCTCGACGGCGACGCCTTTCACTCCATCTTGCTTGCTCATCGTCATCGTCCCCTGTCGGTAAGCCCTTTCGTTCACAACGTGTTTTTTTGTTGTTGATTGTCCTCCGCAGACGTTAAAGTCGTCTGCGATGCCGCCCACGGTAAATCCCCTATTTCCTTCACCTCCTCGCTTTGCTGATACGCTCGCACGTCGTTTTAGGACTCTATTGGATGTTCTGAATACCAGGTCAGTGTCGCGGTGTGGCCCTCACATCAACAAAGATAACTGACGTGATGTTTTTAGGTCGGGGAGTGGGTTCTTCGTCACTTTATGCCGAAAGTACGTCAGGTTCAAATTTCTCTTTTTATAACAGTTGCATACCTTGCCACAGTAAGTGCCCGCTGTCATTGCCTTGTCCGCCACCATTCAGGAAGGTCCTAGGAATGCCGGTACGTCCAAGGTAGGTCACATCCTATACCGAATCTCAGTTTATCAACTTACCCGCGGTCAAAGTGATAGCATCAACGATGCATGTGAAATCTACACGAAGAGGTATGCTGATCATGATAAGGCTTAGTTACGAATGACTTACGCAACGTCAAAGATGCCACGGAATGTCGACTATCCTCGTCAACCCCATGAATTTTTTCGTCCGAGCCGCTTTAGACCACCGGTGAGAAGTCATTGAATTGGCTGGGGAGAACGTGTGACGGCAAAGCCAAAAGTTGAGGAAGTTCTGGCCACGAACGTAAGTCAAATCCTTCACGAACGATCACTGCACTGACTTACCTGCATTGAAGCCAAAGTCCGGTGGCTTTGTTACAATCAACGCGGTTCTACAAAATGTTCGTGAGTTTCAGTAGTGGAATGCCGCTGTAAATCACTTACCCAAAGCGAAAGCAAAGTTCCCGTTCTGCCGCCCATCCGCTTCCGATCCACCATCGCGCCGTTTCCAATGCCTACCCCCATGTTCTCGCACTGCCTCACCATCCTGACACACAAAGCGCGCTAAACGACTTCGCATCAACACTGGTCGACAAAAGGTTGATTGTGCACTATGGAATTATAGTTAACTTACCCAATGTCGCAACAGCCTGTCCTCATCCGCTCAAATCCACGTCATCGCCATCGCTTGCCAAACCGTCGTCACCGCCTCCCATTGGTCTGACCAACGCGATGTTGTCAAAGGTAGTCGGTACCCGCGTAGTTCGCGACTTCAGTGCGTTACAGCCCCCTACGCTGCCCAAACCTCGGAGTAGGGCTGTTTGAATGTCGTACTCACGAGCGTAAGACGTTTCTGTAGGTCAACTGTAGGTCATTTCGTCGGCGTAGAAGTCTCTTGCAGTCTAGGAGGTCTTCGTGAATTGTAAGGAAAGGTACGTGGGCGGAAGTGATATTCATGGGGACTTACCCAAAGTCCAAGCAGCTGCCGTCGACGTGTCCTCCATTCTTCACCAGCCAATCGACATCCTCTCCGCCCTCACTTGCCATCCCTCGGTAAACTGCCATCAACACCCCCCCCCGTTCGTCCGTCCTGCGAAGTCGTTGAAGTGTACCGGGTATCTGTGTAGTTTACGACCTGTAGGTCGGTGAAACATTATTGAATTGACCGGAAATCAGAAAGATAGCTCACCTTTCACATCCTCGTCATTGTCCTGGACAATCCACATCGCCTGACTTGCGATCTCGAGGTTTCCGTGGCAGGTCCTTTCATCGTCGTTGTAGTAAGCGGAAGGAAGTGAGGTGAATAACAACAATACGCGTCCAAGTTGTTGGAGGACGTTTAGAGTGGTGTGAAGGCATGAGTGCGTGGCGCGTTGGATTTTGTACACGACTATGCTACTTGACATTGGCCTCACAGCCTTGCAATGGCGGGGAACAACACAATCCTCAACACCATCGCCCTCCTCTCCGCAACGCTAACAACCTACAACCCACTCCCCTACAACCCAGGCTTCTCCATCAAAAACGTCCTCTCCCTCGCCCAATCCCTCCCCCGGTACTCATGGGAATACGGAACATCCGCCGAAGCCCAACTCGAACTCTTCACGCCCCAATTCTCCGTCTTTGGCGCGACCCCGTTCCCGATACCAGCACTACCAGCAGCGAGGGTGATTGCCTTGAACTATGCATCGTCAAAGGTGGATTTTGGGACGGGGTACGCGGCGTTGAGTGCGGGTAGCGGTGCGGCGGGTGATCCGTCGAGTTTGGGAGTGAGTGCGGTGATGTTGGGTAAGATGGATGGGAAGTATACGGCTGCTGCAGAGGAGACGGTGGATGCGCTGCTCACTCAGATCCCACGATGGTCGAATGGGGCGATATCGCATCGTCCGGACGTTGCTGAGCTTTGGTACCTTTCATTTCCTCCGTCGTTACTGAGTACTGATGTCCTTGCGCCCAGGGCAGACTTCGTATACATGGTCCCACCCTTCCTGGCCTACTACGGCGCAGACACCCAAAACGCCTCGGTCCTCCTCCAATCATACACCCAATGCCAACTCTACCGACAAGTTCTTCAACCTTCGAGCGGCGGCGCGTGGATGCACATCATGGGTCCCCAAAACCAAGACACCGGACTCTGGTCGACGGGGAATGGGTGGGCCGCAGCTGGGATGACACGCGTCCTCGCTACATTTATCAAATCCCCTTTCGCTCAACAACTCAATGGGAGTGCGCAGGCAGATGCGGTGGAGGGGTTGACGGGGTACATCAAGGAGATATTAGACGGCGCGATGAGCTCGCCCATGAGTTTTGGGCTGTTGAGGAATTATTTGAATGATACGAGTGGTGATGGACAGGGGTTCCCTGAGATTTCGGGGAGTACGCTGTTGGCGAGCGTAGCGTATCGAATGGCCGTTCTCCGTCCCGATGTCTTTTCTTCCTCCTCCAACTCCTCCAACTCCACCTCTGCCTCCTCCGTTTCCACGTACATATCATGGGCCGACAACATCCGCGCCGTCCTAGGCGCATACGACGCCTCTGGCAACCCACACATCACAAAAACAGGAATAGCAACCCCAGCAGTGAACCCGCTAAACTGGCATGATACGACGCCGTATACGTCTGGTAGTCCGGAGGGGCAGAATTTTGTGGTGTTGATGTATGCGGCGTGGAGGGATTGTGTGTATGCAGAGGTTTGTGGGAATCCGTTGGCTGCTTCGACGACGACCTCTGCGACGGCTGGGGCAGCGACGACGACGACGACGGGGAATTCACGAAGGATGGTGAAGAAGCGGATGCATGGTGGGCTGAGGAGAGCTTTGGATATATTTGGCAAGATTTCGGGGTGAACAGCTTCTGGTGGGATTGATTCGCTGCCACTTCGATTCACTTTGACGTCCAATGTTGAGTTTTACAGTCGAGCACATCGTTTGCAACGATTCCGGACACAATGTAGACTATTATTCTACTCGTTATTGGTACTCTTATTTGACATGTATTTCTATGTACGTTCAAGTACTGTACAATTGCATGTTATATGTACAAGGTCAAGGTTTGGAAAAAAGCTGGCAGCATAACGGAATCCGTGGCGCTCTCCATAAACTTCGAAATATCAGTAATTCTCAACAAGAAGCTTCAAAGTCGCCCCTTCATCAAGCCTATCAGCCAAACTGTCCTTCACACTCATCTTCTCCTTCAACGTCTATGAAACAAAACACCCCACAATCAGTCAGTCCTCTCCAGCACAAAAATCAGAAACCGCACCTTATTAACATTCAAATACCCCGTAACAAACGCCTCCCCAAACGCCTCGCCAAGCACCGCATCACCCCTAAACGCCTCCCGTGCTGCCTCCCAATTCAACGGCAACCTCTCCGTAATCCCACACCTCGCCCTCTCCTCCTCCCCCATCTCCGCCGCCGTCTTCCCAAGTTCTCCATGGGCACTACAATCCCTCACCTCAAGTGCCCTGTTGATCTTCACACCACCCTCTACGCCAGCCGCTATAAGCCCCGCAAACGCCAAGTACGGATTCGACGTCCCATCTACGCATTTCACTTCAAAGTTCCGGGAAGCGGGGGAGGTGGCGTTACATAGCCTTATTGGAGCTTCGCGGTTATCGGTCCCCCAGCAGACGTAGGTGCCCCCTGACCAGGCACCGTCGACCATGCGTTTGTAGGAGGCGCTGAGGGGGAGTGTGAGGATTGTTAGGGAGGGAAGGTGGGCGAGGAGCCCAGCTAGGAAGGAGGCTTCGAGGGATGTCAAGTTTGGTGAGGGGGTCGAAGGGGAGGGTGGAGAGGAGGAGTGAATGGATATATGAGTGTGTGCTGCGCTTCCGCCTGTGTTTGTGGTTTAGTCAGTTAACGGAAAGGTAGAGAGGAGGGAAACGTACAGCTATCCATATAAACCCTCGGAGCGAACGTAGCCCTCAACCCATGTTTACTAGCAACGTTGTAAATCGTCTCCCTCGTATGCACAAGCGCGTCAGCCGCCTGAAGTGGTCCCAGTGGCCCCGTAACAACTTCATATTGTCCCGGGGCAGCTTCGGCATGATACATCTGCAGCTCTATCCCAGCAGCATTCAAGGCATCCGCGATTTCCTCCAGGACTTTGGCTTCGACGGAGCCAGAGGGTAAGGCGGCGGAGTTGGACCATCCGTGATTGTTCACTGCTTCGATGGGGTTCGTTTGTTTTAAAAGGATGAATTCGGATTCGACGCCGATGAGGAAGGAGAGGTTGAGTTCGTTTTTGGCTTTTCTAGAGGGGATGTTAGCGGAAGAAGAAAGGGTGGTGAGGAAGAGGAAGAGCAATGTACGCACTCGACGACTCGACGAAGGATCGTACGTGGACAAAGATCGACCTCGTATGTTAGTCGTCCATTCCGTCCTGGAAGCGGCGTTTTCTCCTGAAACCAACCCATAACCACTGCATGGCGAGGCTGGTACCCGCACACTCGGAATGAGGAGAGGTCAAGGACGTAGAGGTATTCTCCTATAGGGCTTTCCACCGGCAAGGACGTGAGACTACGAATTCCAAAACAGAAAGAGAAGATGGGAAACACTTACCTGAATCCATCAGCCACCGACAGAAAGACGAGACCTAACGCGCATTTGGTGATCGACACACCCGTGCGCCCGGATGAATGGAGGAGTTTCGCAAAGTAAGCGTTAGTGACGACGCGATATCTGATGTTGTTAATAAGGTCGACCCATTGAATGCGGACGAAGTCGAATGAATATGGCTCGTAGTAAATCCCCTGAGGCACGTTTTTCCTGATAATATCAGGCCCCGGGAAGCTCCCACCTATGTCTGTGCGAAAATAGCATATTTCAGAGGCCAAAAATCGTAATATTCCTCTGCGTTTATAGCATATTTGAGACAATTTCTGGAGATTTTCGCGATATTCCTATCTACTTATAGCATATTTGAGGACTCATTCTAAGAAAAAAAAAATCAACGCAAGGAAGGTTGGCGGCGGCGGTGCAAAATGGTGGTGCAATATGGCTACTTGCAACTTGTGCCGTGACGAATATCTCAAAGTGCACCTTGAACATGGACGACACCGGCACTCAAGCAAGAGCCAGTAGAGTCATCTCAGGTCAACCGCCCTCATTCCTCTCTCCATGCCATTTGAACAGAAATCGGGGACCATTATGTCATTGTCAACTGATGCCGCACTACATTGGACAACATTAACGCTGAGTCGAAAGGAGGTAGCTAAGTCTTCCTAGACGCATTCCTGGCGCCCGTATTGCGGCAAAATACTAGTTGTGTATGAGAGCTAATTAGATTGTCACATTTTGGCAGAGTCACATGTAAGTAGTCACCTCGTGGGAATGTGACATCCTTGTACGCAATAGCATATTTTGGACGTGAAAAATAGCATATTTGAGGCCGTTTTTGGACCATTTTGACGCACAGACATAAGGGCAGCTTCCCGGGGCCTATAATATCCCTTGCGTCCGGCGGATTAAGTTGAGGATTGGTGAAGGGAGTGTAGACGACGCCTATTTGTTCTGGTGGTGGTTGTGCAGGTTCTGGTTCGGCCATGGGTGCTACATAGTGATTCAGATGGGTAGAAGTAGAGTCTATTAGGGAAGGTTTATGTAGCACACAACTCTTCTCGAACTCTGCTATCTATCTATCAGTCTACTAATTCTGGTAAGTATTCGGATGAAATGCGGGTGTTATAGCTTGAAGGAGCCCAGGAAGAGCCGCTCAAACTAATAATAAGTCCATCTATACAGCAGCTCTTGCGTGTGCAGAAAAATTCGTGATCAAATACTAGCAGTCTGCTCGGCGCTTGATGAGACTACCACGCCTTTAGGGAAGGGTTCAACTTTTTCCATCGTGGCCAAATCGTGGCGTTGGGAGAGCGTCACGTGTGCTGGTTGACAACCTGAGAAGATCAATCACGACTTCGTTCGTCACAACCATCACTCTCCTAGCCAGGATTTGGCCAAGATGCTCACCTTCTCTGCTCTACGTGCGCGTGAGGGCCCATCGTCTGGCCCATCGCGCCGTTTCAAGATAAGGCGTTGTCGAGCCACCCCCTCGACACCATGCCACCTAATGAGTACGTCCTCATTTCTCATCTGCTAACATTCTCATCTCATTTCGTCACTCCAGAATCAATCTGACGTGACTATTTCGACGTCCCATCTGTTTCTGGACAATATTTTCGCGTAGACTTTCGACTGCCTCTAACAGGCCGCGATCCTGGGGTTTCCGATGTCGGTTCGTCTGCCACACGCCTCCCAACACTCTTCCTTTCCTTTTGCCGCATCCTCATCGTTGTTCAATGAAGGCCATGGCCGCGATTTCCACCAATGAAGCTTACAGGACGCTATCGAGTGCACTAATTTCAGATGTGTAGATGATCTTGATGGACCGATGAACAACGGTGAGGAATATTCTGTCTTTTAGATCCGTCTTCCACTCATACACACATTATCTAGCACCAAGGACTGTGTATCGCAATCCGCTCACGGGCGCCCATTTCCATTTCTCCTGAGAGGTTCTTTACCGCTACTTCAACGCAGGTAAGGATCATCTAGACTCTTCGTCGCTTTCATCTAACCCTCCTCATAGTTAAAACCATTTTGGATGGCGAGGGTCACACGCTGCCCACTAAGGAGTTCAAGAAAACGAGACAGCATTCAAAGATCATCACCCGGCAAGCCTCACAACCCTGTGTACTGATGTGGCAGATGACCGTGGACAGGAGGGATCGTCGGATACTTGGAGGATATAGGTTCGTTCAATGTTAAAATCTCAGCCGTTGCTGATTTGCCCTCACGTCTCCAGAATTCAAGTTGGATCGATAGTACCGTTCGGCGGGTCCATGATCTCGAATACCGCGGGTTGTTCGGGGATTGGGCATCTCAGTCTTACATTCAGCTCGTTAGCACTATATGGGGCCCGGCTGTGGTAGGCCAATTAATTTGGTTTGGTAAGTGAGGTCTCCTCTACTACGCTCCTTTTTTCTCACCAGTCCGATCTAGAACTACAATGCCTCAAAGCTGCAGCGCGCTTCTGATAAGACGACCTGCGAGGTGACGTGTAACGCCTCGGATTGACGATGCTTGGGTTGGCGGTGGAACGGTTAATGTCGGACACTTGGCATCGGGGAGAGGGGACAGAGGACGATCGTACGGGTGTCATACGATCAAGGAGGTCAACTTCCGGCGGATGTTGGACGTCGTCATGGGGCAGGGATTGCTGCCTGAGGGTTGAATCAGGGGGGGCAGCCGCAGCTGGGTTTCGTCTGCGTTGTGGAGCACTGTGGCTTCTCAGTAACGATGTGCTGCAGCGTGGTTTGGCTTCACCATAGGCCATATGTCTAGTGCTGTGGAAGGCCGTGGTCGGCTACCGAGTTCGGTAGTCTCGAGTTCCTGTGGGCGGGGATAATGGGACAACGGAAGGGGATTGTTAGTTCGAGTTGAGGTGTGAATCTGGATAACGGCAATCCTGTGATCGCGTTAGCAGGAGGATTGCATTGTGCAGATCCGTGTTTTGGGACAGAAATTGGCCTTCAATAGTAGGAATGGTTTAGAAATCGTAAGAAGGGGACCTAGCTAGACCATAATCCTGTCGCAGTTCTTGGTACTCACAGAAAACGTTACAATATTTTGTGGTCACATGACTGCTACACCCTCAAGGGAATTGACGTTTGATTGACGCTCTAACATTCTTGTTATCAACCACCATCATCATGAACGCAAACGCGACTATCGGTACCAACGATACCAACGACACCAACAATATGAATACTACTGGGTTAAATCCCGTGGGAAATGACGTTCTGCAAGTGATCGGCGGCGGCGGTCTTTCTGCGCTCGAGGTTGTCGCTGCGTCTGGCAACATCTTTCCACCTCTGAAGGCGGCTGTCATTGAGGTATTAGCCATCATTGGGATTGTCAAGGTGTGTGTCCTTACTTCAATCATTCTGTCACATCTTCCTATGCGACAGCATTAGAAATTCAAGACCAATAAGAAAGCTTGGTTTGCTTTTTCTGAGAGTCTCATCGAGAAGGTCAAGAAGATTGTTGAGGTCACCTGTCAATACGATGAGAGTCAGATCCTGTTGACTTTTCAACACAGTTTTGAGAATTTGAAAGGGTGTGTGGTTTTATTTTGTAAACTGCCTGGATTGAAGTTGTGCACAAGCATTTTGGACCATTTGAAAGAAGATGTGATGAAGATCCAAAACCAGAAGGGATTTCCCAATTTCAAAAAAGATCAAGAGCACATTGCCAGTTTGCAGGGTAAATTAAATGCACTTGTGAGCATGTTTCACATATGTCACTTGTTCTTTGTCATCTCATTCATTTGATTATTCAGCCCAACTTTCAGGCCTGTCTCAGAGTTGATGGAAGTTCACAAGAAGCAGGTATGTCAAGTTATAAATATTTAACTTGTTGTTGTTTCTTAACTTGTACAGATGTCATGAGGGATGTTTGGGAAGGTCCCATAATGACTGAGCCCAATGAAGATGATATGTCTATTGAGAGAAGAAATGTTGGTGAAAGGCCCACAACTACAGTAAATGGTATGCCCAAACTTGCTTTCTGATACAATTTCTTGATAACCTTTTTTCTTCTGAAGTGGCTCAGGCCAATATGTTTACTCAGGCACATGATTTTCAAATTAATGATGGTGTCTTCAATAATACTGTAAGTAATCAGCTTGTTTGTAGTGCCCCTTTCTTAAAACCATTGGTATACTGTAGATCAATATGAGTGACAACAGAGAAGTTCAGGCCAAAATAGCAGATATAAGAGAGCAGTCAAATGTAAGTTATAAATTGGGTAAAATCTATCACTGTCTCTCATCATTAATGAACAATCTAGGCACAAAAATGGCTGCAAGAGCTCAAGGCTCCATCACATGGCAAAGTAAGAGACAGGTGTATGCCTGGGACCCGGAAGGATGTGCTCACTCTTATTAACACATGGGTTAATGATCTGAATGAGCCTAATATTTTCTGGCTTTCTGGCAGTCCTGGCTCTGGGAAGACAACAATTGCTTCAACTGTGGTTGCTGATTTTGACTGTCTCTCTGGGAAATTCTTTTTCCGTCGTGATGAGGCTGAGCTTCGGGATCCAGACAACTTATGGAGACGTATTGCTTTGGACTTTTCTTCAGGATCTAGTGATTTTGGAAAGTCTATCACTCAGGCATTGGAGACTCAGAAAGCTGACATCAGAGGCCTTGATATTTCTATGCAATTTGAGCATCTTATTGTCAAGCCTTTACAACAAGTTTTTGGGGCTGCTGTGGAGCCTTTTCTTGTTGTTGTTGATGCTCTTGATGAATGTGATTCATATGAGAAACTGCTGCCTTCATTAGTATCCTGGTCTCATCTCTCTAAATCTTTGAAACTCCTCATTACAAGCCGCCATTATCTTAAGATTCAGAGTAGACTAAGATCTGTCAGTGTTTATCATAATCTGAATACTGGACATGAGGTCTCTGCTCAGACTTATGATGACCTTGAAAAATACTTTGTTGCAAGGTTTTCTGAGGCAAATTGGTTGCCTCCAAAGTGGCCTGGTCCAGACAAAATATCATTTCTTGTGAGAAAAGCTGCTGGACTATTTGTCTGGGCTAAATCTGCAATGGATTTTATCTTGTTTGATGGAGGTGATCCTGAAGAGAGGCTAAATATCATTTCTGCTCATTCTGGAGAAGGAATTGATGTTGTTGACATACTGTATCATCAGATTATTTCTGTTGCTTTGCAAGGTCTCAGAAAACCAGAGAAAACAAGTTTAAAGTTGGTTCTGGGTTCAATAATCATTGCAAAGAATCCACTTCGTATCAAAGATCTAACTGAGCTTCTGGAAGTAAAAGATGTGTTGCTAAATTCAATGCTGGGTCAACTCAGCCCAATTTTATCCATCAGTGATGCAGGTTATTTGCGTATTTGCCACCAGTCAGTGGCAGATTTTCTTCTTGATTTTGAGCACTCTCAAGACTTGTGGCTTGATCCTCGATTCTATAGTCTCTGCTTTGCTTGGTCTTGTTTGAAACTTCTGAATGCAAAACTAAGGTTTAACTTCTTTGATCTAAAAACATCCTATATTTTGAACAAAAACATACCAGAGCTCAATGACCACCTTGAGAGCATCAAATCTACAGCCTTAGATCATGCAAGCTACTTCTGGGCCAGCTATCTGCAGGAGGATTGTGATAAAATACTACAGCTGAAAGTTCAGGAAGCATTGGAGACATTTTTGATGGTCCATCTTTTACACTGGCTAGAAATTATGAGCTTGATGGGAACTGTAAACCATGCTGCTCAACTATTATTGTTAACTGCAAATTGGAGCAAGGTGAGTAAAGATATGTATAATTTACTATGATACTGATATGAAAATAATGTAGGTTTCAAAACCTAGCTTATCAGACTTTGCAAAAGATGCAAATAGATTTGTCATGGAATTTTTGGCACCAATATCTGATGCAGCACCACATATTTATTTGTCAGCACTGCCATTTGCTCCACAAAGTTCAAAGATCTCTTTGCATTTTCTGAAGTTATTGCAGAAGACATCTGACTGTGCAGATTGGTCAAAGGGAACATTGGTCAGAGAAATGTTTCCTCAGACTTGGGCCATGATGCTTGGGTTACTTCAGTTGCATTTTCTCCTGATGGCAGGCACATTGTCTCTGGATCTGGTGACAAGACAGTCAGAGTGTGGGATGCTCAAACAGGTCAGAGTGTCATGGATCCTCTCAAAGGCCATGATAATTGGGTTACTTCTGTTGCATTTTCTCCTGATGGCAGGCACATTGTCTCTGGATCTCGTGACAAGACAGTCAGAGTGTGGGATGCTCAAACAGGTCAGAGTGTCATGGATCCTCTCAAAGGCCATGATGATTGTGTTACTTCAGTTGCATTTTCTCCTGATGGCAGGCACATTGTCTCTGGATCTCGTGACAAGACAGTCAGAGTGTGGGATGCTCAAACAGGTCAGAGTGTCATGGATCCTCTCAAAGGCCATGATAATTGGGTTACTTCTGTTGCATTTTCTCCTGATGGCAGGCACATTGTCTCTGGATCTCGTGACAAGACAGTCAGAGTGTGGGATGCTCAAACAGGTCAGAGTGTCATGGATCCTCTCAAAGGCCATGATTCTTGGGTTACTTCAGTTGCATTTTCTCCTGATGGCAGGCACATTGTCTCTGGATCTAGTGACAAGACAGTCAGAGTGTGGGATGCTCAAACAGGTCAGAGTGTCATGGATCCTCTCAAAGGCCATGATGATTGGGTTACTTCAGTTGCATTTTCTCCTGATGGCAGGCACATTGTCTCTGGATCTCGTGACAAGACAGTCAGAGTGTGGGATGCTCAAACAGGTCAGAGTGTCATGGATCCTCTCAAAGGCCATGATGATTGGGTTACTTCAGTTGCATTTTCTCCTGATGGCAGGCACATTGTCTCTGGATCTCGTGACAAGACAGTCAGAGTGTGGGATGCTCAAACAGGTCAGAGTGTCATGGATCCTCTCAAAGGCCATGATGGTTATGTTACTTCAGTTGCATTTTCTCCTGATGGCAGGCACATTGTCTCTGGATCTTGTGACAAGACAGTCAGAGTGTGGGATGCTCAAACAGGTCAGAGTGTCATGGATCCTCTCAAAGGCCATGATAATTGGGTTACTTCTGTTGCATTTTCTCCTGATGGCAGGCACATTGTCTCTGGATCTCGTGACAAGACAGTCAGAGTGTGGGATGCTCAAACAGGTCAGAGTGTCATGGATCCTCTCAAAGGCCATGATCATTATGTTACTTCAGTTGCATTTTCTCCTGATGGCAGGCACATTGTCTCTGGATCTGATGACGAGACAGTCAGAGTGTGGGATGCTCAAACAGGTCAGAGTGTCATGGATCCTCTCAAAGGCCATGATGGTCGTGTTACTTCAGTTACATTTTCTCCTGATGGCAGGCACATTGTCTCTGGATCTTGTGACAAGACAGTCAGAGTGTGGGATGCTTGTGACTCCTATGATATACCACTGTTAAAATTCTGTCATCGTGATCAAAATTGGATCATGCTCCCAGATAATGCACATCTCCTCTGGCTGGCAGACCAAAATAAATCTGGTTTGTTCTGGCCAAGAACAACTGCAGTTATTGGTTCCATTCCAACCTCACTTCAGTTTAAAAACTTTGTTCATGGTGTAAACTGGAGCCAGTGTTTTTCTTCATCACGTGATCCCATTTAAGAAGCATTTGGACCTGTTGACACCACTGTCAGATTAAATTGAACTTCACATCTTTTATGTTATTTCATTTATCAACCTATTTTATGTCCCACTTAGATGTATATCCTCTTTATTTATAATATGACATATAATGAGTTTTCTGAGTGTATGCTTCTTTACTACATCCTTGAATTTAACTTGTTACTTCTATTTTGATGCCCTTAGAAAGAAAGGCACTGGAAAATGAATAGGTATTACCTCACATCATGGAAATTTTTATTACTACAAAAAAAGCTAAGTTTTCATAACAAAAAATAAATATAGATACTATGGTCCCCATGCTGAGTTCATTTTCCCACTTGAGTGAGGTCTTTACCTTCCCCAGGTTAATCCATATGGAATCCATCAGCAATTCCATGTGGAATCCATGGAATCAATCTTGGCTGAGACCACTGCCAATTTGTTGTTCCATGGACATCATGGATTCCATGTGGAATGATCATGGAATGGTCATGGAATGGTCAATTCCATATGGAATCCATTGCTATTCCATCTGGATTCCATTGGATTCCATATGGAATGCAGGCATATCCACATTTATTCCATGGAGCAGTCCATATGGATTCCACAGAGCAGTTCATATGGATTCCATGGAAGGGATTAATGACCATTATACCATTAGAATACATATAGATATAGTATTTATAGTGTCCTTACTATATTTAAGTAAAAAATAAATTTTGCACCTGAGAGAATTGAACCCATGACATCATGAATGGAAGCAGCACTGTAACTACCTGAGCCAGACTGGCTTTGTTATAAGGTAAACTAAAGGTCTGTATATAGCGTTGGCGTTTCAAATGTGACAGATATGGCTGTCGCGTTGCCACATCCAAGGGGCTCTCACTGGAAGATTCCGAAAACTCAACTCCCATCACTGGGTACCACTTTTTGAAATCAAGGGTTCATAGGGTCTGGAATATATCAGGAAGGTGTAGACCAATTAGGATGGTAGCGCTGAATTGATAAGCAGTAGACACACTGTATCTACTTCGACATTCTCCTGCCATTATGCTGAAAAGGCGATCCAACATCGACACCCAAATTCTTGACCCACCTGAGTTCATCGACTTCCTTCACCAATCCGGCAACACCACCAAGTTCGCAGTTTGAGTACCGATTGAAGATTCTGATATCCCAAGCCAACGCTTGATTCAATGTGATCTGTGCGGTGTATCAGTACCTCTCACTGGAAAGGACCATCCTATTCGCTTGAAAACCCACTGAGACTCCACTATATGCCAGAGAGAGGTGCGCAGGCAACAAAAGAAGCTGAAAAAGGATGGGGAGTTGCAGATTGGTCGTAGGTACACCAGGTTTTCGTTGAATGGCAAATCTAAATGATATCCTCAGTAAGATAGTACCTCTTCGTCCGTCCACATCCACACCAGCACCAGCGGGGCCACCCCTCAGAACACAGCTGCCCATTCAGCTAAGCCGCGAACACCTTCATCTTGACACTTCACGTTTCTCCACTTATCCCAATCCAACTATCTACATCACGCAATCCCAAGATCAGCGGTCGAACAGAAGGAAGTTAATGGTTTTTTATTCACTGTCAAAGGCCAGTCAAAGACGGCGTAAATACTGAAGGCGGTTTGAAGGCAGTAGATAATCTTGTGACTCAATTAGTCTATTCCTTCCTGATATATTCTAGACCCTATGAACCCTTGATTTCAAAAAATGGTACCCAGTGATGGGAGTCGAGTTTTCGGAATCTTCCAGTGGGAGCCCCTTGGCCACGTTGCTTCTTTCTTTCACCACCACCACCATCATCCACCCCACTGTCTCAAGCCACGACCGCCCGCGACAACGACGTCGACAACGCCGACAACGCCAACGACAACCATGACACTGACACTGGCGACGACAACAACAATGACGCTGACGATGACCACAGATGGGTGGGAACGACGGCGAGTGGAAAGCCCAGGTAAGCCAGCGGCGTGGCAACCAGATGGTCGTCGTCGTCATTTCATTCCACCCGTGAACAAACCACCCCACCCATTCACCTTGCTGACCCAAACCATAGGTGCCACGTCATGACATGCCAACCAGACGATGAACGACGACTTCGACATAGGTCGTCGTCTCCGTTCGCCCACCAGATCCACCACCATGAACGGCCCACCATCACACCACACCAACATCAATGAGCGCCCACCAACGAAGACGAGTGCCCACAAAGATGACGTGACCGCCCACAAAGACGACGTGACCGCCCACAAAGACGACGCGACTGCTCACAACACAACCGCCCACAAAACGAAGACGAAATCAACGGCAGCCCAGCTCCACGGACGCCAAAACGAGCCAACCGCCCACAAACGAGGACCCAGAGCACCCACGCACGAAGGATTCCGCTTGCGTGAACGGAAATGGGCAACGACGAGCCCAGGTAAGCTCCCCTTCCCTCCAACATTCCTCACCACCACCCCTTTATCATTCCCCCTCCCTTCATTGCTCCCCCTCCCTCCCTCAATTGTTCCCCCTCCCTCTGTTGCTCCCCCTCCCATTTCTCCCCCTCCCTTCATTGCTCCCCCTCCCATTGCTTCCCCTCCATCCATTCCCACCCCACCCTTCACCACTCCCTCTCTCCTCCATCACTCCTTCCCCCTCCCTCCCCCCTCACTTTCTACTACACCCTCCCCCCTCCATCACTTCCCCCCTCCCTTAAATATTGAGAATAGTAAAAATAAATTGTGTAGTCTATTTAATACATTTCAATTTTTCCTGCTCAGCTATGACTGTCATGAATATAGAAACCATGATTACATGATGTGGACTTAGAATTATTTCATACAGTCATTCCATGTGGATTCCATATGGAGTCCATATGGATTCCACCCTTAAAATGGCATAGAACATATAGAATAAAGTATGGATTCCATCTGAAAAAAGTATGGATTCCATGTGGAAAAAGTATGGAATCCATGTGGAAAAGTATGGAATCCATGTGGGGGAAGTATGGAATCCATCAACCATTCCATGGAATCCATCTGGGAAAGTATGGAATCCATCTAGTCCATATGGAATAACCTGGGGAGGGTAAAGTACTGATTTGAGTAACCCAACAGACTGAGACAATGAGCCTGATCACACTGGATGCAAGCCACATTAACTTGAACAAAAAAATTGTAAAAAGATTGTTCCAAAGATTATAAAATTATGGTAAATCTGTTCTATACTACTTTCTGTTTAAGATATTATATATAGAAATTTTGAGTGAGGAATTATCACCCTAAAATCCTTCAATTCAACTTCTTTAGAGTTACCTTCCTTTACAGTTGTTTGCATAATGGCTTGCACAACAGATTTTTAAAAACATATTTGGTCTTGTTTGAACAGGATCCAAAATGTCACACTGAACCCATTTTCAGATGCCTTGAGTTGCCTCAAAATGTAGTTGATGGTGTGAATGCTGCAGCCAGCAAGGTCTATCATCTCTTGTGGATGCCTCCCCTCATTGTGCAAAGCCAGGATGTGCTTGTGTGCTGGATGTGTTGCAATTTTCGATGATTACATCATTACAATAATGTATGGGACAACTACAAACCCCTTTGCGAGAACATTGTGTTGCCATTGTGGCCTCAATATTGGTAATACTGACTACCTTATGTCCTTGTTGCATCATGGTCAAAGGCCCAAAGATGCCCACTGTAAGCCAAGTATAGCAGTAGGACTCGAGCACAGGTGTGCAACAAGTGTGACGAAAATCATGCTACCCAACACAACCAAACAGATTTTTGAAAAATTCATTGTGCAAAGCATTATGCAAACAACTGTAAAAGTTATTTTTTTTTAAATGTGATTCACACTTTTTGTCCAAAAGAAATTAAAAAAGATATTGTAATGAAATCTTTATCAGCCAATAGCAAGTAAGAAAAATAATTTTATAACCTTTTTTCCATACTCTGTCACTGCGGGCATTGGCTTATGTAAATGGCAGATAAATTGTGAAAAAATTGTGTAGATATTAATAAAATTTACACCTTTTCTTGGCAAGGTATATCAGGAAAGAAATTTAAAATGTCTTCTTCGATATCTTTTCCAAATTAATAATCAGTGTTATTATAAATTTTGATGACGGAGATATGTGAAAGATATCTTTACCCTTTATAGCAATTTTGTTATCTGATATTTTTGCAATAAGACTACCCGAAACATTGAGAAGATGTTGTAAAGGGCAGGTCACCGTCATGTCCTGAACCTTTGTGACGAGCTTTCATGCCATAACACCCATACCCACAGAGCGCAGGACCACTGACGAGCAAAGGCTCAGCGCTCATCGATCATCATTGGCCAGATGGCCACACAACCGTCCCCACATATCTCTTCACTGACACCGGCTCAGTTGAAGAGAAGCCCTTTCACATCAGCACAATCCCTCATACCCCATTCAGCTCATCGTCCATCAACCACCAGCATCACAAGCAACCATAGCCCCATTTTTTCTCAGGGCATCGGTGCATCTCCCTCAATACTGCCAACAACACCTGCAGGCTCAGGCATCCCAGCATTCCACTATTTACACTCCCTCTTACCTTTCTGTCCCAGTAGGAATGCCACTCCTAACTTATCTGCAGCCTCGCCTAATACATCACATAGCCCTGTTGCTGGGTTTGGCTCTGTGCGCTGTTCGATGACAAAGAAACACGAACGGAAGACTTCTTTGTCAAACAATGCTACAGGAAAACCATTGAATGAGGAAGAACAAGGTGTTCGGAGGTCTGCTTCTTTGATGAAGTAGCAATTTTCTGTTAAGCTGAATACAGGTGCTGGACCGCCACTCTCACTCCACTTGTCGACAATTATGGAGGCAGACAGTTCTGGCATCTTGAAACATGCACCTGTCCCCAGTACAAACACCATCCTAGCCAAGTGCCATTCGTGTTCTCCTTTCATCATCAACCTGAATCTCCTTCACACCTCCTCTGCCGCTCCTCCCACATCCTCCGGTAATTGTGATCCCACCACCCCAGATACACGTAGCTCAGATGGTGACGCAGATACATCCGCTTTGGACTTCTGCAATACCGACATCACTACCCAAGTAATCGACACAATGTGTCCATCAAACCACACCGACAGGAGTGGCTTAACTCAGATGGGGCAGTCGTAGTCGCCAGGGGCGGCCATCTAGAAGTCATTGATTCCAGTTTCAGTACAGATATAAATCTGGAATTGGTGGATCCAGTTTTTGCCACTCTTCTGAGCCCAAATTCCACCACAATGGCAAAAATCTTCATTTGTTCCCTTCAGTCATCTCCAACCACGCCCATGTCAACCTTCTGCATAGTGCAACAGACAATTGTCAATCCCCATCCTTCGCCCCTCATTTACAACCTCCAAACACGCCTTCACCAACAACTTCCATCTTCCCCCCTATCCAGACCACAGCCATCTTCCAGTAGTGCAGGGATGACTCCAAACGAATCACTAGTAAAGGGGAAAGGGGCTGCAGTAAATAGGAATAAGGGAACACATGGCTCTCCTCTTTCCTCATGGTGAGGAGCTCCTCACCAATACACAGGTCATCAGCACTGACTTCGTCAACACCCACTGCACAAAGACAGACTTTGCCCACCTGCCAAAATCATTCACCCCCTCGAGCATGTTGTCGATTTCAGCTGTGACTGCTGTCAGGGTGTTCAGTGCAGCAGATAAGGGTGTTAGTGGCACCCCAGGTGGGAGTGGTATTGGGAAGGGAAGAACTGGTGCTCGTACACTCATGCTGGCATCTGAAAAGTGGAAAGTTGTCACACAGAGGCCAGCAACGTTAAGACAGTAATTCCCGGAAGTCGGTACATCATGTTGAGCCTTGGAAGGTCGCAGAGGGCTTTAAACAAGAGGGGTAAGTGCTTCTTTGTGCATAGGACCTTGGAACACTAATCAAAGCTTCTAATTTTTTGTCTTTTTGAAGGTCTTCATCACCCCCAACGCCATCCGACATGAACACATAACCTGCAACTTCAAGAAGGCGGTTAGCGGACAGGGATGCGTCTTTTCGAACCCTGGAACACCCATAACAATGTGGAAGGATTCCATATGCTGCAGGGCAGCATGTACCAGTTTTGCAGACATCAATATGTCGTCTTGGGCCCTGGAGGGAGGGTATCATGGATGGGTTGGACAGTAGGGTTGCGTGAAGGAAGTCGATACATCGTCTTTGTGCCTGGAGAGGTGCAGGATGAGTCGACAATGTGATAACATGTGTGAACAACCTTCAAAGAAGTAAGTGATCATTTGGCTCTCAATGCAATGTAAAACCTACAATGTGTGGTGAATTTGCAGGAGATCAACGACATAACATGTTTGAAGGATGTCGATATGTTGTGCTGAGCCTTGCCAAAGTGGATTAGAGGCGACAATGTGGCAAAAGTGCCTAAGTCGTCAAAAGACATCTAAAACACAAAAGGTATGTCAATATCTTTGCGATATGTGCTTCAATCACATGCCATGCAACGTGGACAACTTCATCACCTCTTTAGCCAGTAGATACAAATGAATACAACCTTTCCCCTGCCTTTGCACCACCACTACTTTTTATCAGCTCCACCAAGGTTCATTTCCAGATCCCTGAGAAAGTCATACGTTCCTCTCATGCAGTGTCAGCTGCTTATCTGCAGCATCGATGACAGTTCAAAAATGACGAACATGGGCTTGTATGCAGTAGAGTGATGTTCTGCAGGAGCGGAGACTGTGTAGGTTGTCCATCATGATATCATTGACATCTGAATCTCACATAGACATTATAGCCACGACACCAACATCTGCCTTACACATAATCAATTGACTGCCAGGTGTCCAGCATCCGAGACCTCAGATCACTTGTGAGCGACGACATCAGGTGATTCCTACATGCTGCTGGCTTGTGAATTGGTGATGGGACTGACAAATGGTGATGGGGAGCTGTTGGAACCGGGTAAGTTGTCTTTTCTGACACTGATGGACTCTTGTGTTATCGACCATCCCAATGTTCCAGCATCGGTGGCTTCTCTTGAACGTTGAGAACGGAACGAACAATATACCTCAACTCACCCATACCGCTCTCTATGCAGCTTCAACTGCTCAATCTATTTGGTGGGGAAGAGAAGACACATGAGTCTTTACACACCGTGGTGAGCTGTAGAGTTAAACCATGGTTCGATGTGTTTGTATGGACAAGGGAAGGGACAGGGACAGACACAGGAGGGTGGAGGTGGAGGTGAAGAAGCTGAGTTGGGGATACTGATGATGAAGACAAAGTTTGCAGAGCCCGAGTTGAGTTTGTTCACACTTAAAGCAGAATGTGGAGATTCTGTTTGGTTATCAATCCTGTTATTCAACGGGCAGAGTTGGTGGGTTCTCCCTTCCTCTGACAATGACATCTTGCGGACTTGAATAAAGGCCCAATCACAAGGCCAGCTGCCCAACATCCCGCACATAAAGCTCCTCACTGACAGCATATTCTTCAACTCTCTCCACTCACACGTCAACTCATGGATCAAAGCCATCCAAGAGGTGACCAAGCTCACGAGGGGTGTTTCCTCCAGCACAGCATTGCAAAATCAACTTCTGGTTGAGCGGGATAGAGGCGCAGTTGAGGAGTACTTACAACCAACTAACAAAAGATTTCCTGCTCAATGATGTCCCCTCCTCCTCCACCGACCTTGACAAAGTGTATGAATCACTAACACTCATCTTCTACCACCTAAACAGAAAACTCAAACTGTCCCCCTACCCAATTTGTCAAGCTCTCCCATTGTTGAAGCAATCTCACGAGACTTCAACGACATCCATCTCTGGATCTTAACATCCCACTGGCTAGAATACACCCCTTACCCCACCTCTGACTCAGAACATCTCCTCCCACAAACAACAGCCCGGGGGATATTCAGGACGTGGGATGATCTTATCAAAGAGTTCACGAACGTCGCAAGGGAGGTGACGAGGAAGAGGAGTGAAAAGATTATTCCGATAAAGGTTGTTCTGAGGCATGGGAAGCTTGTGGAACGGGTGAGGTATTTGAGGGAGTGGAGGAAACAGCATGAGCAGTAAACTAGTAACAGCCGAAAACATGTACAACGAGAACTGCAATGTGAATCTGACGTTTAGGGATTTCTCAAATTTAATCCACTGTTCGTTAGGCCAAATGTACATATGTGTGATCTTTCTGCTGAACGACACTCATGTACATTTGTGGTGTGATACAAGAATATTAGCCTCAACTTATTGATTCTGCATTTAGCACTTGCACAACAAGGTACCCTCTTCCTCCCTCTTTCCCATCCATTTCCAACCACTGACCTACTCAACAACCAGTTCAGAATCCAATACTGCCTGAAGCCTACCACATGGCTCAATTGCGCAACCTACCCCCAATGGCAGGAGCCAATATCTGGGTCCGCCAAATCAAATGGCAACTCAACGTGTCGAAGATGCCCTTGGAAAAGGGTGAGAGTTCTGCACAGAAGATGAAAAGGTTCAGTCCGAGTCCTCAACATTCCGCAAAAACTAGACACACGTGGTTGCATGACATCAACTGTCGGAACATGGGCCTTGAGGGGCATCCATTCGAGATTGTACCTTTGAGCTAAAGAGGAGGGTTTCAGTGATCCGTGGCGGGTTCGCAGGGTGGCGAATTGCAGCCCACATACGAAGCCACTCCCAGCTGAACCTTGAGTGTTCATTGAGCATGGACAGTTGTCCAACAGGAAGAAAAGCACAGACTGTTTGGCCACGACATGTAGAGTAGAGACGCTCTCTCTTAAAAGGGCATGCTGGGGAAGGGAACATCTTAGGCACCAGATAAATGTGGTCAGGAGAATGTAGTTCGAATAAAACAAAGGTCTTGATCCTTTCACCCCTATCTTCAAACAATAAACATCAGACTGCTTAGTGTATCAACAGAACTCAATGAGGAATAATTCACAATGGATATAACCTATTCTTTGAGGTCTTTATTGTCCCCCACTGATTCCTGCAGGATTCCTGAGGATTCCTGAGGATTCCTGAGGATTACCAGGACTCTATATTGGCTGATGTGCCAGCCAATTTTTTGAGTCCTGTGGGGGTCCATTCCTGAGGATTTTCGGACAGGACGAGTCCCAGGAATGACTCATTTGATGAGTCACATGACCCATGAGCATGTGCTTGGATACATCATGTGATGTGATGCATCCAGTCCACATGTTTGTTGATCATATGTGACACATCACGTCACCTCTCTCTTCCACAACCACAATCACCACGACCACCACGCAACAGCGCACGACCACCACGACGCCATCAGTAACAACAACAACAACAACGAAATCGACAACCACAACCACAACCACACTTGTCGACAGCCAACAAAAACCACAGCACCACACGACACATTGACAACCAAGTGGCAATGCCACGTCACCAACCAAACGAACCCAGGGAAGGTCCAGGGGATGCAACAACATGTCGCCTGGTTGTTTTCAGGGTATGCAGGTGAGTACCCAATCCCATTACCCCCCCACAGCTTACTTTACAGGTACCACACTGCGCTGGCACCCAACGACAAACGAGGCCCAAAACCCATCAACGACACCAGCCCCCACCCTCCAACAACAACAATGCCCACAAACAATGCCCACTGCCCACAAACGAGCATGCACCGCCCACAAACAAGCACACACCACCCATGAACAAGCGCCCAGTGCCCATGAAGAAAACTCGGCGCCCACACCCACAGACGACCACGGATCCCCACCCATAGACAGCAAAGCCCATTCACGGACGACAATGACAAATGGTGAGCTCCCCCCCCACATCGCACCCTCGTTCTGACCCACCAAGGACAACAGTGCACACCGCCCACCACGAACATTACCACACCCCCCAACAATGTTTAGCGCCCCCAAAAAACGAACCAACACACATGAACAAGGACCACTGCCTGTGCAAAACAGCTCACACACCCCCCAGCATCTACCCCCCACCCTCCGAGTTCGACGACACCCATCAACAACGCACACCGCCCACCACAAATATCACCACACCCCCCAACATTGTTAGCGCCCCCAAAAAACGAACCAACACACACGAACAGGGACCACCGCCCGTGCAAAACAGCTTGCACACCCCCCACCCTCCGAGGACAACAACGCCCATTGACAACGCACACCACCCATTGACAACGCACACTGCCCACTGACGAACATCACCTACAAACAAGCCCTCGCACCCATGAAAAATGACCCAGCGTGTCTGGGGTGAAGAGAAAGGGTCATACAGCTTTGAGGACTTGAAGGATTATATTCAGAAGAAGAAATGGGAAAGGGAGATAGCTGAAAGAGCAGCTGAATTACAGGCATCAGGATCACATGCAGAGAGTAGGGAGTCATCTGATAGGAAAGGCAAGAAGAAGAGCAAGAGGTCCAAGAAAGATAGCTCAGAGTAAGTATGGGTATTGTTCTCTCTCCTTCATTGATTGCAATTGTAATTGTTACTTGTATCACTGGATGCGAGCTACATTAACTTGAACAAAAAAATTGTAAAAAGATTGTAAAAAGATTCCAAATAATTTTATAGTAACAATGTCTAAAATATTGTAAAATTATTGTGATTTTTTTTAATACTATTTTTTGTCAAAGATATTGTATAGAAATTTTGGGTGAGAAATTGTGACTATAAAATTCTTCAATTCGATTTCTTTAGAGTTACTTTTTCCAAAATTATCTTGAAAAAATTGTGATTCACTTTTTTTTCCAAAAAGAAACTTAGAAAAATATTGGAAAGAAATTTTTATCAGCCAACAGAGATGTAAGCAATATATTTTTGGAGATATTTTCAACATATTTTGTGTATAAATATTCTATTTACAGAACTCACAATTTCTTTAAAATAATCTCACCGAAGTTGGTGTTCAAGAAATTGTGAAGTATTTCTGATAATTGAAAAAGGTTTGTTTACAGTAATTTTGACGATGTTATAGTGCAAGAAATTCTGATTTTGTATTCTCTTATTATTTGTTTCCTCTCCACTATATTGATGCATATATATGCAGAGAGATGGTTACTCAACCCAATGGTTTCAGTAATAGCTGCCAACTTTTTATTGTGTAGAATAACTTTCACAGTAACTTTGACAAAGTTATTGTGAAAAAATTCTATCCACCATTCATCTTCTCTTACCCATCTTCTAGTATTGATTTATGTTATCTCTGGTGTGTCACTCAATTTCAGTGTTGTAACTACATGATCAAGTGAACCTGCATGGTTTTTTCATGATACCTTTGACAAGGTTATTTAAAAAGAAATTTTGATGCAGACATATTTTGCTGTAATCTGGCTTGTTATTTACTGTCATCCATGAGATCAAGCCCAATTGCTAATTACACTGCAGGCAATGCTCAACTCAAGCATTTTTATTTTCATTACAATTGTTTTACAATAAGTTTGAGGCAAATAGCATTGACAATTTTTTGGGATGTTGGCTGCATGTTTACAGATACTCATGCTGCATGACGCTAATGACAAAAATGATCATGATCATGATGGTGACAATGATGATGGCAATGCCACAGCCACACACATGCACTCTTGAATAACAATGGGAAGCTTCAGTGGGACTTGCAGGTACAAAGATATGGAATATTAAAAATTGACACAGCTGCATGATGTTAATAGCAAAAATGATGATGATGGCGACGACGATGACGATGACGATGACGACGATGATGGCACAGCCACAGACATGCACTCTTGAATAAAAACTGGAAGCTTCAGTGGCACTTGCAGGTACAAAGACATGAAATATTCAGCCCTGACTGTAACCATTGACCAAATTGTGCTAGACCTGCCCACTTTTTTCTATTGCATAGAGCATGGATATGTCCACCTGCGAAAAAGCAAAAGTTTCCATCACCTGTTTCCACTCCAAAAATGTTTCTAAAAATGTCCACCTATAATAAAATATACCCCTAGGATACACGAGAAACATAGTGCAAGATCCCAAACTGGGATAGCAAGAGCAAGTGCAACACCTTTTCCAGGCTGGAATATTGTGGGGGCAGGTTAATAAATATGTAGGGTAATACTCTTTGTTGTAATTACATTTTACCCTTTCCACAAAGAGGAAAGTCATTGAAAAAATTTGAATATTCCCACTCAGAATATTTAAACAGATCCGAACAAAGAGTCCTTTCTCAGAAATTTCATTCTTTCCGGCCCCTTTTCACAACCTGTTGACAGCATGTATCAATTTTCCATGGCATCTGAAAACAAAGGATCCCTTTCCTTCGGCTTTCCTCTTGATCTTACTCAATTGTTTAACTTTTACTACAGTATCACAAACAGGAAAATCTTTTAAATATTTCAGCTTTTGTTCGCCCTTTACCAGCTCAGAAAAGGCAAAGCAACTTTCTTGGCCCGGATTTTTTAAAATCCCATGCCTTTCCCCACCAGAAAAAATTTAAATATAATCAGGATGCTCCTGGAAAGAAAAAGTGTCGCACTTTCTCGAGATATCCTGATCGGTGATGTTGGGCAATGTTTCTCGTGATAGGTTTTCTGAAAGAATATGGTTCTATAGCATCTATTTTTAGTCTCAGTTTCTTTCTGAATGTTTGTGATTTATTACAAATCTAAACTTAGCTCAGATGTGTTTCATGATTAAAAATGAAACATCCTGGATCAGTATTGATGACTGGTATGTTTTCCTGTATATTTTCTTTTCTCAAAGAGCATCCAGATATGTAGGCACGGTTATTCATCCTTTCCACTTGTATATTTACCAAAACATAAACATGTTAGTACTCTAAAAGTAAAAGGTAGCCCAGTTTTTCATGGTGCCCTTGCAAGTGGATGGATGCCTCATTGTGAACTTGGATGATGAGTTCAAAGCTGTAGACAAATAGATGCAAACTTCCCAAAAACATTGAAAACATCGGAAAAACAACTGAAATTGAGCCAGCAGAGGAAGGGAACACTACACTGACATTAGTAATACATAGCAGCATGTTTGATTTACAACATTGGGCTTGAACTCTTATCAGAAGTTGGCTAAAAGTTGTGGAGAAGGGTGTATATCTGTCTCCAAATGTCAAAAACATATCATTCCAGCAACTTGTAAGCTAATTCATGCCAGCTATAGCCTACCAGCATTCAGTGCATAAGTAAAAGAATATCAGGACAGGCAGTTTCAGATTTTGAGTGAAAGAACACACCTGAAAGTCTTGTTCCATCTTTTTTAATTTTAGGAGGGTTACAAAACATAGAATTGTGCTGGGAAATCTTGCTCTGCTTGCCCAATTTTGAGGGAATCAGATTTAACTCTTCCTAGCTAAAGGTGGATAGTCATATAAAATTTGAGAGTACTGTATTCACTTTGATAATGAAGGATTTGTTATGAAAGTCACTGAATAGGGTGTTTTTCTTGTGACGTTAACTATACTGTGTCTACTAAAACCATCCAATGGTCATGGAAATTAGATAGGAATCTTCAGAGTCAGAAACTGAATGGATTCACAAGTTTCTATGGAAATCAGAGGCTTGTGGAGATACAGGTAATGGGATAGGTGTAGATGGGTCACAATAAAGCAACTGAAAGTGCCGGAATCTCAGCTGTAGAATGGAATTCTTGTGACTTTTACTCCATGCTCAATAAATACAGGGTGCTACCTATCTCAAATGTTAGTTCTATTCCTTAGAAGCTTTAAATACAATTTTTCATATTTTTCCACCCTCAAGAATGAGTGCGTGCAGTGTTTCTTCAGCGTTCAGCATTTTCCGAGCATTGTTAATATATGGTGAGCAGCCACTTCAGGATCTAACTCAGTATGGCAGAACAGTTGTCACTGGATCTGGTCCTGAAGATGCTTGGCCAGAGGAGGCTCCCAAGGCTCCCAAACTTCCTACAACGAGCCAGCCACTTTTTCTTCCAACCACATCTTGCCCTGCCATCAGTGCAATGGTAAGTTACATTCCCTATTCTTAGACATAAAGCTCAATTTTGTGATTTGTGAATAGTAACCAGCTTCACTGGCCTCAGCTTCAACTCCTCCAGCTTGTGTTTCACCTGTATTTACTGCTTCACGAGCTTCGCCTCCACCTTGTAGCCAATGGTGCTATCACCAAATGCCTGATGTGGTATGCAAATGGTCATTCTGGGGCCCAGGCGTGCTGCGTTGTCAACGACTTTCAAATCGACAATGCCCATGATGCTGGGACCCCATAACAACTGCCCTTCCTCAACAATGGCTGTTGATGATGGCAAATATATTTTTATATGAGTATGCTTATCCCTTTCTTCTTTTCGCTTTGGCCATTCTCACCTACCACCAGTACTACAACACGCGAACAACAACGGGCCACAAATGCCCACCACCCATGGATGGTGACTTGTAGTGTTCACCAAGGGTATGCCAACCCGCATGGGTTTTCAAGGCAGGTAGAGATGGGTACGGGTGCGGGTCAGCATTTGGGTACCCATGGTGCAACCCATACCCTTGCTGAGGGTTTTGGAGGGTTTCAGCACAACAGCATGGTGGCTGCATGTGCTGAAACAGAAATGTAAATAAATACTATGTACAGTTTCAAACCTTAAATCCACATCAAGTACACACTCGCACACTCTGAAAAAAGTTCACATCAGTGCTTAGTATGTCGGAATCCCCAGAACCTCCTGCAAAAAAGTCTTCCTCAGGCAGAATCATCAGTGCCACAAAGCGAAAGCTTACTGCTCCGATTTCCACATTTGTTAAGGCTGTTCGCCCCCAAAAGAAGGCCAAGGTCACCAAGTCATTAGATGTGGCATCTTCAGCCCAGGAGACGGGCACAGCATCTTCAGTAGTGTTTAAAGGTTCAGTTCAGTCCGGTTTTTTGCCCCGAAAACGCGCAACCGTGGACCGCAACCGGTCCAGGACCGACCCAGATATTGAGGGAACCGAACCGAACCACCTAGGACCGGTCTTTTGCGGTCCATGATACCGGTTCAGACCGATCCAGACCGGTTTTTTTGCGTATAATTTATTATACCAATATAAACCATTTGTATCTCAATCATTATTACTCTGAAAAATAAACGGGTTATATAAAATAGTAAAGCATATAAATACCCATCATTCTACCAATTTTGAAGAGATTTAATGAAGATTTGACATAGCTATGACTGAAACCGAATTACATCTCATAGAGACTCGGGTAAAATATGGAT